CCACTAATTGATATTCGCATCTGGTACACCTACTAAAGAGCTAAAGCCCTATATATCATTAAAACAATTATAAATTTTCCTTACAAATGTTTCTTGCTGCCTTTGCAGATTCTCTGAAGTGAAATATCTTGCCTTTATACGTCGATTGGATATTTGTGGAACAATAGACACAAAAATGTTGTCACCAAAGACAAAATATGTTTTTTATTTGGTGTTCAAGTTGGCAAATAGGTGCAATGGACTTGAATATGCTAAATCAAGTATTAGGTTTGTTAATTATGAGAGTGAAATTGATACTGAAGATCGGGTCAACATTGTGCACCTTGCAAGATTGCAAGGAAGTGGGGATATCCCAAAAATGAGAGGAGATGGATGGATGGAAGTAAAATTGGAATATTTTTAATAGCAATAAAGGCACTGATGGTCCTGTTGAAGCAAGATTGATTAAGAAGAAACGTTTTTACAAAGGTGGACTAATTGTTGAAGGAATTGAGTTTCGTCCCAAATAGATTGAATACAAGTTATGAGAGGCGGATATGGGATTTGAAATTTTACAAGTTTTGAACTAGAACTCTTTGAATTCTTATTCGGATTACCAATTCATATACATCGAATATCCTTTAAAACTTTAATATATATTCCTTAATAATTGGGATGTCCTCTTTCTACCTGAAGGTTACCTTCTGGCCAATTTTGTGGCCTGTGTATTTTGGCTTTTAACTTTTAGAAGGTAAAAAAAGATGAAGACAAATTCCTTCTTTCGATATTTATTATGTTGAATTTCCTTCTCTATTTAATCTATGTTAGTTTCTATGCTTCTAGGTTTATACTAGAAGAGTTTGATGAATCTTGGGGGATGGAGAAATATTTTTTGGCTCTTAACTTATCATTTGGATGTTCTTGTTCCCATGTTTAAAAGCACTTCTCGGGTACAAAAAAGTGAAATTAACGCCCAAAGATTTATGTTCTTTGGGTTATAATTCATCATTTTTATCTTGACAATACTATATGTCTGTATTTTTAATGATTTTTTGTGCGGAAAATAGTTGAGCCATATTTTCCTCAATGTAGTCGAATATTCGAGAAATAATAATGTGTGATATTGGGTGATAGACTCGAGTACTAGGAATATTTGTGCCAACAAAATTAATTTTGTGTCTTACACCTAAGTTTATGATGACGAAGAATTTGTTTATATTTGGTGATTCAAGAACTACTTTTTTCCCTCCCTAGGAGCTCCTATATTTTTGCTCCTTTGGTGAATCGAACTTACATTCGGGTTGAAAGTGAGGGATGTTTACCATCCGAGCAACTCCCTCTCATCTCAAGTTCTAGGAAAAGGAAAAAATATTCTTAAGAGGAAAAAACATTGACATTAACTGAGATGGTACATATTCATAATATCTAAATCAATTTACTTTTTTAAGGAACTAATAGAATAGTTGCACGAAGGTTTTACTTGAGATTGATAAGGTGTTAATGAAGATCATATTTCTATGGGCGATGAATATTATAACCAAGATCTCTTTGTGCCTGATATTTTTTTGAAGATGAAAATGCTAGAACTTATATTTACTTGATTGTTTGTATGATTTAGGATATCTTAGACTTAGACATGTTAATATCAAGAAAATGCAGATTTAAGTTTATTTTCTTTTGTGAAAAAAAATTGATATCTCAAAAATTCATGTCTAGATTTACTAGCTATTTTAAATTGTAGATGAGTTTCAATACGGTAATTATTTCTTTAATTCTAATTACCTTGTGAATCAGAGCGGATCTAGAGTGGGCTAAGGGTGTTCATATGAACCCCCTCGATAAAAAATAATATTGTGTATATAAGGAAAGTATTTTCTTTTTTATGTATATATATTAATTGTGTATCCCCTAATTCCTAAACATAGGATTAAAAGTTAGTGTAGTGGTTTAAGAAGTTCAACATTCACCTTGAAATTTCAAGTTCAAATCATAGGCACTCATTAGGTTGAATAATGAACTAAGTAAGTAAAGCAAGCTAAAGAAAAATAAGTATAAATTTGATAATTAGATGTTACTATGTGTAAATGAGATAAATAAAGAGCAAGAGTATGAATCTGAATGTTTTTGGGGCTTATAAATGCGTCTCAGATAGAAATGGATAAGAAAATATAGAGTTGTTGTATAGCTAGAATTAAGAATGTCTTTACGAATCATTGGAACAAACTATTTATAGGTTACAATAGTGAGGCACTGGCGAATAGAAATTCCTCAACTAGACCATAAAGTACCAAGACCAATGAACGGACGGTGCGTGGGTGATTCCATAATAATCTTGCAGCCCTCAGGTCCGTATGAGCTCGTCTCTAAACTTGATATTTCTAACATCCTGTCCTCATTTGTCTCTTTACCCACGTCATAAGCATCTGAACCCAAGAATAAATGGTCACATCGTATAATGGAGGGTAAAACAAACTATTAAACGATAGTTGAAGGGTATGTTTTACCCTCCCAATTATATATTGAAGAAATAGTAAATTCTTTAAGAATTCTTTTGTGTTGCTCGTTCTCATGATAAGTTTATCATTATACCAGCTAACGTTGAGATTATATTCCCTGAATTTTTGAAATATATAAAAAGGTGAATATGAACGTGTTTACTTTTCTATGGACCGTTTACCATTATATGGTTTAATAGATGTATCTATGATATGGTGACATGTGTGTTTGATATCAACTTGCAATTTGGTTTTTGCAAGTCTATTTGCTCAAATTATTAAATTAAGAGCATAGTTTCAACTATAAAATTATATTGATGATATTGGTTTATATCCAAGTGAATTTCAATAGAAATCATATACCTTAAATTATAGCTAAATAATTGATAGTTAAAACAAAACTCCTAAAAGAAACTTGGTACAGGATGTGATATTTAAAATGTAGCAGCACTTGTACGCGTCACACCAACAAGATTCTTATATCACAATTGGTTCAGATTTGTAATAACCTCCAAGTTTTTCTTAAAGGAAAAAACATTGACTTTAACTGAGATGGTACATATTCATAATATCTAAATCAAATTAGTTTCTGTGGAACTAATAGAAATAGTTGTGTCAAGATTTTACTTGAGTTTGATAAGGTGTTAACGAAAATAATATTTTTGTGGGCGATAAATATTGTAACCAAAATCTATTTGTGTCTTATCTTCTTTTAAGATGAAAATGCTAAAACTTATATTTATTTGATTGTTTTGTATGATTTATGATGTCTTAGACTTGGACATGTTAGTTTTTACTTATATCAAGAAAATGCATATTTAAATTATTATTTTTCTTTTGTGAAGAAAATGATTTTTCAAAAATTCATGTCTAGATTTACTAGTTATTTTAAATTGTAGATGAGTTTCAATATTTCTTTATAATTCTAACCTTACTTTGCAAATAGGGGCGGATCTAGAGGGAGGTGAGGATGTTCACCTGAACCCCTCAACAAAAAATAATATTGAACATATAAGGCAATATTTTGTTTATATATATATATATATATATTGATTTTGAATTTCCAAAACACAAGATTAAAGATTGGCGTAGTGATTAAGGGCATTCAAAATCCACCTTCAAGTTTTAAATCATAGGCACGCTTTAGATTGAATAATGGGCTACGTATAAATTTGATAATTAAATGCTATGATGAGTAAATGAGATAACTAAAGAGTAGGAGTATGAATCTGGATGTTTTTGGGCGTATAAATGGGTCTCTATCTAAAGTAGGATTGCAATTCTCAATAACTAGAATTACAAGAGCTTGTAAAGTGTTGCAGTAAGTACAAAAGTTCATAGAGGGTATTCACAAGATTATTGAGATTATGGGTGTCACAATGGTTGAGAGTATAGATTTGACCGCTTATCGGTTGAAGAGAGTAGCTCAAATTTGCTACAAGCAATGGAAGGAGGAAAGCGTTGTTGATGCAGGCCCATTGGACTGGGAAAAGTTCAAGGCTATTTTTCTATCCACTTGAGATGGGAGAGGTTAAGGTCCAAGAGTTCATAAATCTGAGACAGGGCAACATGACAATGAAGGAGTATTTTTTGAAGTTTTCTCAATTCTCCAAATATGCTCCGACTATGGTGGCACGACTTTAGGGACCACATGAGTAAGTTTGTCAACGATATTTCTGAGATGATGGTGAGGAAGTGTAGGACTGCGATGTTGATTAAGGAGATCACTATCTCAAGGTTAATGACTCATGCTCAACAGATTGGGAAAGAAAAGCTCAAAGAGAGTGCTAGAGACTAAGAGAGCTCAGACATATAGTGTGGACTACTCTCATCAAAAATCAGGAGAGTCCAACCCCATCTTCTGCTAGTGCTCTAGGACAGTGTTTCTAGTGGATGCACTTTCCTTACTTGTCAGAAGTGTGGTAAAAATCATTCAAGAAAATATATGGCCGGTACCGGTGGGTGCTTTGGATGTGGTAAGACAGGTCACAGATTGAGGGAGTGCCCATCGACTGTAGGCAAGGGCAAGGATGTTCATCAGCAGGCTCAGCCTAAAACTTTAGCAAGTCACCTGACTCAATAGGGTACCCCATCTAGCACTGGTGGTGGACTGCATGAGAACAGGTTTTATGCTCTTCAGACTCGACAAAATCAGGAGGGTTCCCCTGATATAGTCATTGATATGTTACGAGTCTTGTTAGATTCAGGAGCCACAATACTTTTCAAGATGGGTTGAAAACTTGAAATGAATCAACCCAATTTCCTAAACGACAACCATTTATTTTATATTGATTTTCAACATATAAACCACACGACATTATAAAATGTACAGAACTGCATTTATGGCCTTTGACATTTTCAATGGGTAGGGGACTGCATTTGAGACTTTTGACATGCAACTCCATATGACAAAGGAGAGATAACCTACTAGGTAAAAAGGGCCACTTGCCTGCTGGAATTGAATAGTGGGAGAATGGAGTTTACCATATCAAAAGAAATATCATGCGGGCATACATGAGTTGCAATACAAATCCATAGTTTCTTCATTTCAACATAAAGGGGACTTTAGTATCTAAAATAAATAATTGAAGCTGAATATTCTATGAATAACAACTAGAGGCAAACCCCCCAAAATCTGAATTTTGAACTCATAATAGGCTCTGTTTGGGAACTTTAGGATCATGATCAAACTAAACTAATCGAGTTTAGTTGATGCATTTTCAAATGGAGGCAATCCCCAATCGGCTGGGCTGAAATCAAGTAAAGAATTCAAAACCTGATCAGCGACTTGATGATACTGACTATCCAACCTTGCATCTGGAACCATAACCACTGACCTGCATGCAGTAACATAAAACCCAAGTCAGTAGATGATAGTGCAATCAGAGTTTTATACATTCCTATGAGAACTATATATCTGTACCTTCACTTTTCTCATAAGACATTAATGCAATGAACGGGGAATAAATGAGACCAAACCAAGTGATCTTCTATATCAATGACAAAGAGAATCTTAATGCCACTTCAGGACCCACTTGGCATACGTGTTACATCTACCAGAAGAAACCCTTATCAACAAACAGAACTTTGGGGATTTTTAGTAGCTAAAGCATGTTATTGGCGTTTAATCATGCCTCATAGGACCCAAAAAATGCAGAATTAATAGTAGCAAACAAATATGAGCAAGTTCAAAACTCATGAAAACTGCTAACACTCTAGACCTGAAGAAATTAAATTAAGGAAAAAACATAGCCTCATAGTACAAAGCAGGAAAACTATTAGGAAAACACAAGAAACCAGAGCAAACACCAAACAAGGAATATCGTCTATCCATTACAGGCAAAACTAGGTGTTTGTGTGGGTGTCATAGAAAATTCAGGGTCCTGGTGAAGTAGCAAACTGAGGCCAGTTGAGGATGGAATAATAGTAATATGTATCTTTTAGATTATTGAATGATCCCGAAGAAGATTACAAATCAGACAGAAAATTAGAACACCAGGAAGCACTTGCAATGTTGATAGGTTCAAAGAGATTCTTGAAAGTAAAGACAAAAACCCCCAAAATAGGAGGAAGGAAAAAGCAAGATCCTGAAGGAGTGCTCTGAATCCAAGAACCAGACCAAAATCATATTGTTTTCTCAATTACTAGATGTTATCTTCAAGAGATTAACAACACCTACGAGTTAATCAACTACTTAGTGCTAAATTGTTGAGACATAAATCTAGATGAAATATAAAAGCCAAACTACAATTTACATGTTGGACCAATCAGTGTAACCTTTTGCACAGGATGTCAAGTACATAAGACTGCTGACTGAGAGCAAAATATTCATAGGAATAACTAAGACAAAAACACATACAGTGAAAAAAACAAAATTAAAGATATGCAGTTGAGCAAGCATTTACAGGAAAGTACAAGGAGAGTTGGCATCTAAACTCCTTAAAATCATGGAAAGTAATCATGTAGTTCTCTCAAGTTATTCTACTAGAAGAAAATCAAAAAGATATCACCCGACATTAAAATTTTGGGGAGATAGACTTACATTCCAGCATTCTTGGCTGCAAGGACACCAGAGGGCGCATCTTCAAATACAAGAATCCTCTGTGGATCTACTGGTCCACCCTGTCCATATTAAACATAAAGAATACAGCTCATACGCATCCATGATATTTCATAATTGACTACATATACTGACCATATTTCTACTTTTCCATTATCTGAAGGATCTCCATTCTAGTTTCACAAATTACACCTAACTTTCTCAGATTTGGTAACAAAAGTGTTAACTCACATTTTTTTCCCTAAAGGCTGGTACATTCAGAAAAAGTAGTCTCTCACTGTACAATTTTGAGAACAAATTTTGCCTTTCTGTAGTAAAACATCCTAGAAATTTTAGATTATATTCTCCGCTTCAAATCGAATGCCCACCTTCCAATTTTACTTTATCCCAAAATAGTGTCCTTCCTAAAAAGAGAACTTCTTAAACATACTTTACCATATAAAAATCACATGGGACCCCGTTTTTCTCTTTTAAATACACCGTCTATCCCAAAAAGTTTCCATGTTGAGTTTTGAATAATCAAAATACATATTTTTCAAACATAACTTCAGATAAACTTTTATATACATAAGGATAGTGACAGTCCATGGAAGGAGAAAAAGACAAGTAATTCTCCCAGAAGAAGCTGGCAGCATCAAAGCTTGGGTTTGTTGAAATGATCAATGAAAGATTTCTTTTGGAATTTCCATCTGCTATAGAAGTTTCCAGGGTTAAGATTGGTGAATGGAGATGGAAGGGACAGAAAATTAATCTTGTGAACCGGACTTTGCTGACATCAATGTCCAGAAAATACAAGTTCCGGTGATTCGAGATGGGTTAGGCTTAACAGTTTTCCGACACAACTCTGTGTGCCTTGATGCTGACGCACACTTAATTAGGTTATATTGGGGAATGGACCAAGGAAGGGGTATCATACTCCCTATGTCCCAATTTATATGACTCACTTTCCGTTTTAGTCGGTCCCAAAAAAGAATGACAAATTTTTATATTCAGTAACAATTAAACTTTAAAATGTCTACTTTACCTTTAATGAAATGATTTATAGCCACACAAACATCTATTACTTATTTTAGACCACAAGTTTCAAAAGTCTTTATTTCTTTCTTAAGCTATGTATTAAGTCAAACTACATCACATAAATGTATATTTGTATATAGAACTTTTTTATACTTTTTTTGCTGATATGTTACAATATTGTGCAGCACCTTGATTAGTTGAAGTTAAAGATGGCAAGACAACTGTAGAACATGCAGAGGAGGAGGGTTGGATTGATATGAGCGAGTCAGATTCATAAATTTAACTTCTGAGATGGCAAAACAATGCAACATCCTAACAAAAATCATTGACTTTACTTTTCCATTTGGGAGATGACTAATGTGTCTGATCACTGCATCACCGTAAATAGCTCACAGAGAAAAAATTATTTTTCTAAGAAAATAACATTATTTGAAGTTTGATATAAGAACCAAGCCAACAGAAACAAGCATATTTGAAAAGTCTAGTAGGCAAATTATCAGTTAGACCATACTAAGGGAGGTCTATGTAATAGAAGACTAACCAAGAGAAGGATAAGCATCATAGCTGCGAGATCTCTCAGGATATACACAATCTAGAGAAACAAAAATCAGAGAATTACCTCAAATCTGTTCGCAGCTGCAAGGAATATATCAGGTGATGGCTTCCCTTGTTTAACTTCTGGATCATCACCGCGAACGATATGATGCATTAGTGAAAAAAGTTCACTGTGTCTTTGAGTTTTCAAATCAAAGTGCCGCGTGTGAGTACTGAAAAATGCATTTATATTATTTCACTTTTTGAATCTTACTTCTGAAACATTATCTTAGCATATGTTATTTCTTACACTTCTACTTGCTATACTAATTATTCCACCAAAGGTAAACTTTCTAGTGAACAAAACTAAAAGAAGATGACATACCCCGTAGCAACACAAATTGGTATCCCATTTTCATGAAGGTGATGAATCAGGCGGCTGGCCCCTATAACAGGACAAAAACTTAAAACAAGCAAAGAAGTTCATGTATACTAATCCAATTTTGCATTAAATGAAATTAAAAGACTGAAATGAGCAATATGTAGAATTTATATGCTAGTCTTCATACTTAATATCCACTCTCTTAATATCCACTCTACTTCAGAAACAAATGTTCTAAACTAACATTACTGGATGCAAGAACTTGAAAACATAATTATTCAAGAAGTTGTTGGATAGGATTCACATGTAACGAGAATAAGTAATTAGATTTATGATCATGTTGTAATACTTGCAAGAGATTGTCAAATTGATAGGTAACCCATCTTGGATAATTATGTTTTCAAGTTCTGTGCCTCTAGTAATGTTAGTTTAGAACAGTTGTTTCTGAAGTAGAGTGGATATTAAGTATGAAGATTAGCATATACATTCTACATATTGACTTCATTTCAATCATTATGCATAGTGACCTCTCAAATGGTGAAATTTTTGCAACGAGTTGAAAAGATGCAGAATACACATAATGAACAGTCAAACTAATCATTTACCAATGCAATGGTAGGAGCAAAAAGAAACCTCTGAAAATCATTTCTCATGTTCCCAGCAAAAGGTTTTCCAACTCTGAAGTGTATACCACAAGAGGGTAATGAAGGTGTTTTCCTTGATATCTAGGAAATTATATGTTCCAAGTCACTTAAAAATAAGCTTTTCTTTTCTCAAGTTTCAAGGTTTAAACTTTTTTTTTATCACAACTCTGTTGAGGCTAGTTTGCAGTACACCTTGACTAAAATTCCTCTGGTACCTATTATCTCCCACTAGCACAGGTGCCGGATAACTCTACCGACCAAAACATACACAAATTGGAAGTTTCAACTAGGGTTGCCTCCGATGAGATTTGAATATTAATTGATCAAGGTTGTCACTCTGGCTCTCAACAGCTAGGCCATCCCCAGGGACAGTTTCAAGGCTTTAATATGAAAAATATAGCATAAATGTTATGGAGGAACCTTTTATTATGCATCTAGAGAAGTAGAGATTACATGTCCCTGGTTATACTTTGGGTGAAGAAAGAAAACTGAGCTATTTCCATCAAGTAAAGAAAAGCCTCTCCAAAACTTTAAAAATGAAAACCAGTTTAAGTTATCCTCTATTGGTAGTTCTTCGTAAAAATGCCGTATAAGCTAGGCCCTATTAGCAGGAAAAGATGGAGATAAAGAGTAAGGATTGAAACCCCATTAGCAGCTTGTGTATGTTCATGCAATATGGGTGTCTCATCCTTAAGAACTGGTCACTTCCTCAGCAAAATTTGGAATGTTGAAGGATAAGATCTTGTTTCAACAGATATTCATGAAAACGTATCCACCACCTCCACCACTCTTTTCTTTTTCATAAATAGGAAGTTTAGAATCCAACTTGAATATTGAAAGGATTACCAGATATAACAGAAAAATGTTCCACCTGTCCCTGCATGTCTATTTAAGACTATACAGAATTAAATTCAACATCTACTGGATCAATTATACTCCCCCATGCTTTTTGCACAAGTTATGGAGGTAAAAGTATACGTGTGGGAGTTGAATGCTCCAATACAGAAAGTAATAGGTAAAAAGTAGTATGATTGATCACAGATTTGTTCTGGCCCTAAAATTCATCATACAACCAGAAAAAATGATATTGTGGAGAAACTGATGTCTCACTTCATAATTTCAAGGAAACAATAGCCTGACAAAGGGTTCAGTCCTATTTGGATGCCTATATAGGAGGTAAACTGCATAATTTATATATATGTATATTATTTTAACGTTACAATATCTATCCATGTATATATTATGAAAAACAGAACTCTCTTTTAAAGGGAAATCATATATAGTACAGTTACATCTTCAGTCAAGAAGGTTATATAGAAAGTGAAGAAATTGATTTGAATATTTGATCAAGATCCACAATTTTTTGCCATTTAAGACAAATAGTCAATTCCATAAGTTTTACATCATGTACAAATGTTTGCTCCTCTTATAAACAGAACTGAGAAAAGGTTGAGAAAGCTGAAACTTGAGAAATGAACAAAACAAAAATATTATGTCTCTTGTGCTTATCAAAATTGTACCTGGCATGAGGTCACTTGTGGGGAACATTTTCTGCAACATTTCCTCTCTCTCTACAAGAAAATCTTCAGCTGTAAGTGAATCACTTATTCCTGTCTCTTCAACAAAGACCCTGGCAGCCTCTATTGCCTTCTTCCCCATCATCTTTGCCTTGAGTGACCAATCAAAAGTCTTATTATACCTAGCAAGTATAATCTCCTGGACCTCCGTATAGAATTTCTCAGTGTCTGATACACAAAAGAAAATGAACAAAGAAGCTACTCAACCAAGATTTGTCTTCAAGTAGCATCTATTCGACCACACAAAGAATCACTTGTTTCTTTCCGATAGAATATAACAAACGGGAAAGGCCTGGTAAATATCACTCTTCCCTTTGATCCCCTATGTTAACAATCTACCCTCACACCTTCTTCCCGTTACTTATTTGCTTCCATCCTTAGAAGCTCTTTTATTTTCTAAAACAGACTGCAGTGTCTTAATATATCAGGTGATGGGATAAGTACATATCAAAGAATGTCTGCTGTGGTCAAACCACATAGGTATACACAAAGGGCATAACAGATTTGGCTGTGTGAATTTGTTTTGTGGTTATTTAAGTTACATAACTTGGGTAGCAATAGAAAATCCAAATAACAAAACACCTAAAGTAAAAAACTACTGTCACAAAAAATTCAAATGGACCAGTCCATGCATCCTTTCCTAAACTTTAAAATCCCCTATAATAAATCAACACCGGTCTTACTGTTGCTTTGAGAGAACAAGGGAACTAGATTTTTTTTTCTTTTTGGTTGATAAAGAGTGAACTAGATTAGGGGGCACAACAAACTGTCTTAGGTATAAGAGTTGATTGTAGTTTTGTACATCTCCAGAAAGAAGAATTCGTAAAAGATAAGACAGTGCACAGTGGAAGGAACTTTCTCCGACTGTCCTATTGCTAACTTTTCCTCTACAGACACACACCAGTATAAGGTTAAGGTTTTTACTGACTAAAAATCATAACCACGTACAGACAGTGAGTAATATTTAATTTACAAAAAGAATGCAATTCTCTGCTACGGTGACATGCTTTAGAACCACCAATCCTACATAATGTATTGATTTTTTTAATTAGGAGAATATATAGTCAAAGAACTTATATTGTTTACAGAAAGAAGTCAAGAACGGAATTCTCTGCTATAGTGACATGTTTTCAGAACCACCAAGTCTCTGTAATTTACTCTTAATTCCTCTTGATTAGGGAAAAAATAATCAAAAATGCACTGTGGTTTCTTTGATAGGTGAGAAATGTCTTAGTTCTTGAGTACCTTATGCACCAGATATGTGATGTCACGTCAGAAAGACATAGACATACAAACGTGTACACGTGATGGAGGAACACACTTATCATACCATCTCTACTGGAATGTGGAGTGGCATAGTCTATCTATAAAGAAAAGCATAACAGAATACATCAAAAGAGATGGTCTCATGGTCACAGCCCACAGGGACTCACTTAAAGTGACCAGAATTATGGATTTGTTCACCTATCAACTATAATTGACAACTTTTGGCATCACTGGCAAAGGCAACTTCAAATTCCAAGTCAGATAATTCCTTCAAGCAGTGGCTCAGTTTTTTCTTTTTGGCACACTGCACGTGCCCAACCATCTTCCAAGAATGCTATTTCACCCTTCAAAATGATTTTCTAAATTTTGAAAATGCGTTGCATAATTACTTCAGTGGCCGTCTGAGTTCCCCACCCTATCTTTACAAATCCTAAATCTGACGCTGTATAACATCAAAAGTTAAATATTCTAACTCTTCATTTTCAATCAATAGTCCATTAGCATACTCATTCATCTCCTCCGAAAAACAACAAGGGTAGAACACATCACACTCAAATTTTGAATTTCACTCCCAATTCTCAAATAATCAGAAATTATACAAGATCCAAAGAACAATTTTAGCAAACGATTGCATACCAAGATTACATCAATCCTTCAGAAACTCTACTCTACTAATAGGCAATTCCCACGAGCACATTACGCATTGCATTCTCAGTTCATTCAGATTTGTGAAATAAATTAAAGCAAAGGAAAGAGAGTAGGAGAGCAAAATGCAAGTGAGATCTTATACATATTGATACCTAGAAGAAGTCCATCCATGTCAAAGATTACATGAGTGATTGGGCCTTTTCTTGCAGATGAAGTATCAATGCCTTGATTCGCCATATTTGAACAACTTTTAGCTTCTCCTGGCGCACCACAATTAAGATTGCAGGAGATCTGACCGTACTGGTGGGTTTAAGGGGTCCTTAGGTAAGCTGCATTAAAATAAATAATTCATATATTATGTGTGGTATTATTTAATACTATATTTGATAGGAATTTGGATCTATGTATAACTAACTCTTACATGGTATTATAGGATGTATTACTAATACATTCTATTTGGAGGTATTAGTAATACATTGAGGGGTCGTTTGGTAGAGTGTATAAGAATAATGATGAATATGATGTATTAGTAATGCATGCATTAGTAATGCAAGCATTAGTAATACTTGCATTAGTTATGCTTGCATTATTTCTTATACATTGTTTGGTTTGATGTATTGAAAATAGCAAGCCTTGTATAAAAACTATTAAAAAAATATTTGTTTACAAAAATACCGCCACATTCTTTTACAAAAATAATAATAATAATTATAATAATAATTATTATTACTATTATTATAATTATTATAATAATTATTATTATTATAATTATTATAATAATTATTATTATTATAATTATTATTATTATTATAATTATTATTATTATAATTATTATTATTATAATTATAATTATTATAATTATTATTATAATTATAATTATTATTATAATTATAATTATTATAATTATTATAATTATTATTATAATTATAATTATAATAATTATAATTATTATTATTATAATTATTATTATTATTATTATTATTATTATTATAATTATTATAATTATTATAATTATTATTATTATAATTATAATTATTATTATAATTATTATAATTATTATTATTATTATTATTATTATTATTATAATTATTATTATTAGAGGGTAGTTTTGTCATTAGTTAATCTAATGCATGCATTAAAACCATTGCATTGCTAATACCTAGAAATCCATGGTATTAGCAATACACACCTTAATACACAATAGAGTGTATAACTAATGCAAGCATTAGTTATACATAGGTTGGAAAAGAGTACCAAACAAGGTACTAGTAATACACACTGCTAATGCATGCGTTATTTTTCCTAATACACTCTACCAAACGACCCCTGAATATAATAGCATGGATAAGTCTATGTAAAGACAAAAATATCCCTCAAATCATTTTAATTATTTTATTTATTTTTTTGATTTTATGCTTTATATTTGTACTATTAAATTTATTTAAGTAAATTAGCTTACAAATTATTTAGAGAAAGTTGTTTGTTACTACATAAATCCAACACAAATTAATATAATATTTGAAATGTGAGTTGCTTAGCATTAACTCTATATATATATATTTATATATATATTGCATGGTTTCTAATTATTTGTATTTGAACAATTTATAAAATTGCATACATATTAAAATTATAACTTGCAATTTCTATGTGTAAATGTAGATGATTTATTTAGTTTTACTATTGTTTACGTCTTTTCAATTTTAAAAATTGATAGTTTATCTTTTTTTTAATTGAAAATTGACATTTTGCAAGTAATAAATCTACTAAGATGACAATTATTTATCCTCAAATAATTTAAGTGGAAAAAAAAGGCAAACATGACAAAAAAATTGTTCTTCTCATAGCTAGTTAGAAGACCATAAAAAATAATATTGTCCGTCAATTATTTATCTTAACCTAATTACTAATAATTCAAGGGTATAATTGGAAAGAAGTTTTTTATAAAGTTTTAACCCAATTCCAAAATGGGGCAGGAACCAATGAACCAAACACTTGGTAAAAATAAACTCTGCATTACTAATCTCTGCACTATTAATCCCAGTATTAATAATCCCTGCATTATTATTTTTGTACCAAACGACCCCTAAATATTTAAAAAGTCAAAATTTAGAAAAGAGAGTTACACTTATTTAATTTTTTATATATATTATAGGGAAAAGTGACAAATATACCCCCGAACTATCGTAAATGGTATCTAAATACCCTCCGTTATACTTTTAGGACTCTCATGTCCTTGCCGTCCAAAATTTGGAACGTATATACCCTTCTGATAGACGGCGAGACACGTGGCATCATCTCAATGTCCCACCTAAAATTATTTAATTTTTAACCCAAAAATTACCCCTGACCCGAATAATTTATACACCCGACCCAAATTATAACCCATGGACTAACCTAAACGAAAAATTATAATCTACCAACTAACCCAAATGAAAAAAAGAAAAAAAAAAGAAAAAGAAAAAGGCAACAGCAGCCATTGCCTCTGTCATCTATTAATCACTTCTTCTTCAGTGAAATCTTTTCCAATTTCATCTTCTTCAATGAAAACCACTGCCTCTTCAATGCCTCTCTTTTTCTTAGCTTTTCATGACATATTTTCAATTGTATTTTAGCATTTGAGTGATGTTTTTCTTCCGATTATTATTTTTGCAGAAGCAATCATTGGTTTGAGTATCAAGTGGAAGTTTCAGTAGTGTGAAGTTCGAGTATCCACTCATCACCCAAATCGCTGCCTCTCCCGATCAGTTGAAAAGTGCGAGATACAAAATTTTAGCATTACTTGAAAAAATCATTGAGTATTACGTCAAATTCCGTTTTCACCTCATCCACAACTGGAGCATCTGTTGTTGCTCTACCAGAACGGCGACAACGGCAGCGGGACTACCTCCTCTGATGCTTTGACGGTGGCAAAAGGACGAGCGAAAGTTGCTCGGTGCTAATGGAGTTTGGGAATGCGAATGGGGTGCTATAGTGTTTTGGCGGGGAAGGAAATTGAAGCTTTTAATTTATTGGAGCTTGAAAAATGAAGAATTTGGCCGGAAGTTCTTTCAGAAATCAGAGAAATCTACAAAAGATGGAGAAGTGTTTTTGGGTTATAATTTGGGGTGGGTGGGTTTTTAAATTATTTTGGGCGGGTCTTCAAAATTATGGGTCAAAATTTAATAAATTTCGGATAGGCATTTTAGATTGAGACACGTGTTCACCCGTTAGTAGAAAGGGCACATACGTTCCAAATTTTGGACGGTAAGGACATGAGAGTCCTAAAAGTATAACGGAGGGTATTTAGATACCATTTACGATAGTTCAGGGGTATATTTGTCCTTTTTCCCTATATTATATTCTCATAAAAAAATTTAAAATATTATAATTGACTGTGATTTATTGATTAATTTTTCTTTTTCAATTGACAGTATAACGTTTCTTGTAATAGTTTGTACAGAAAGAATAAATATACATAAATTATTGACTTATTGTACGTTATATAACAATACAAATAATTTAATTTTGAAAAAAAAATCAATAGAATCAATTGCTACATACAACAACAACAACAACAACATACCCAGTGAAATCCCACTAGGTGAGGTCTGGGGAGAATAGAGTGTACGCAGACCTTACCACTATCTCGTGGAGGTAGAGAGGCTGTTTCCGGGAGACCCTCAACTCAAGAACATCAAATCTAAGTGACAGGCGAGATAAATATAAAACATAACAACCAATACAAAAGATAATCAACAAATGAGACAATAACATCAAGAAAGTAATGTGAGGAGTGAAACGCAGTAAACAACATAAGGCTAGGACTACTCCAAACGCTAACAACCCATACCCTCGCAAGGGAAGACAACACACTAACCCTACTAACCCTCAACCTTAATACGCGACTTCTACTCCTTCCTATCCAGAGTCATGTCCTCGGTAATGTGAAGCATAGCCAAGTCTTGTCTAATCACCTCTTCCCAATACTTCTTGGGCCTACCTCTACCCCTCCGCGTACCCTCTACCACTATTACCTCGCACCTCATCACTGGGGCGTCTGCGCTCCGTCTCTTCACATGTCCAAACCATCTTAGTCTCGTTTCCCTCAGTTTGTCCACCACAGAGGCCACTCCCACCTTCTCCCGGATAACCTCATTCATAATCTTGTCGCTCCTAGTGTGCCCACACATCCATCTCAACATCCTCATCTCCGCAACATGCATTTTTTGCACATGTGCGTTCTTGACTGGCCAACACTCCGCTCCATACAACAAGGCCGGTCTAACTACCACTCTGTAGAACTTACCTTTAAGTTTCGGTGGAATTTTCTTATCACACAATACTCCAGAGACAAGCCTCCATTTCATCCAAGCAACCCCAATGCGATGTGTGACATCATCGTCGATGTCACCACTCCCTTGGATTACAGCCCCAAAATACTTAAAACTTTCCTTCTTAGGAATGATCTGTGCGGCAAGTCTCACTTCCACATCTGTCTCATCCAACACATCACTGAATTTGCACCCCAAATATTATGTTTTGGTCCTACTCAACCTGAACCCTTTGGACTCCAGCGTTTGTCTCCACACCTCCAACCGCGCATTAACTCTGTCCCGCGTCTCATCAATCAGTACTATGTCATCCGCAAATAACATACACCATGGGACCTTCTCCTGAATAGACCGCGTCAACTCATCCATCACCAAAGCAAATAGGAAAGGGCTTAGGACTGATCCCTGGTGCAGCCCCATCTCAACTGGGAAATGTTCTGAGTCTCCTCCAACTGTTCTAACCCGAGTCTTGGCTCCACCGTACATGTCCTTTATCGCCCTAATATAAATCATCGAGACTCCTTTAGACTCCAAGCACCTCCAGAGGACATTCATCGGAACTTTGTCATAGGCCTTTTCAAGGTCAATGAACACCATATGTAGGTCTCTCTTCCTTTCTCTATATTTTTCTACCAGTCTATGCATAAGATGGATGGCTTCGGTAGTCGAACGTCCCGGCATGAATTCAAACTGATTCTCAAAGATGGACACCCCTCTTCTCACCCTCATCTCCACTACTCTCTCCCAAATCTTCATAGTATGGCTCAACAATTTGATACCCCTGTAGTTGTTACAGTTTTGGATATCACCCTTGTTTTTATACAATGGAACCATTGTACTCCACCTCCATTCATCAGGCATTTTTGTTGTCTTAAAGATAACATTAAACAACCCAGTTAACCACGTTATGCCTGCCTTGTCCATGCTTTTCCAAAATTCTACCGGAATCTCATCGGGTCCGGTCGCTCTTCCCCTGCTCATCCTACTAATAGCCCGTATAACCTCCTCGGTCCTAATGCACCTACAGTACCCAAAATCCCGAAGTCTTTCAGAGTGCGCCAAATCACCCAACACAATGTCTGCTTCCCCTTTTTCATTTAAAAGTTTGTGAAAGTAACTTCGCCATCTTTGCTAAAATCAATTGCTACATAACTATCAAAATTATTCTAACAATATTGTTTAAAAATAAAATTAAAACGTCACTTCTTTGAAGATGTCAATAAGAGTATCATATTTTTACTTATATAATATTTCGTAATACTTTTGTATGAGCATGACTCTTAATAAAAAGTCAAGAAAAGTGTTGAAAGCCCTTAAATTAAACTTGGCGAGATTTTAGGGGTGTATTTCACTCGTGTTGCAAGATTGAGTGTATTTAAGTTCAGTTAGACAAGTAAAATGTGTTTTAAGGCAATTAATGATTCAGAAGATCAAGAATAGAAACTAGATTAATTGTCACGATCCGAGCCTACACCCTGGACGTAGCCGGCACTCGAAAATCATTGTTGGTCCCCAAGCGAATCTTTATCCTGGTTGACTACAAGCGAAAGACTAACTCAAGCATACAAAACTTAAAAACTGAATAAAAAATCATGAAACTCAATTACAAAGCTTTAACTCAAATGAAAAACTCTGAATAAAAATAAATTATTCAACTCGCCATAAAATGTGCAACTTAAGTCTTCAAAACATTTAATAAAATAAATGAACAAACTTCTGAAACTCTACAATCTATCTATGAAGCCTCTAACTGACAAAGATGAAAGTCGGGACAAGACCCACGACATCCTGACAAACTGGAAAGTAATTAAATGATATCTTCCTGAAGCAAGGAGGCTCACTATAGCTAACTCGAACTCCATGTGGTATCAACGAAGCTCTTGTTGATGACCCTAAATACATGTATCTACATCATGAAATGATGCAAGTCAAATGGCTCAGTACGTGGAATGTACGAGCATGTAAGGGGAATTCTAAAGCATAGCATAAGCTTGAACTTGATAAAAAAAGAAACATACTCATCTTTTCTCAACTAACTCAACTCAGAAATAAGATACTCAACTCAAAGATCAAATATTCAACTCAGTGAAATAAGGCTCAACTCAATAATAAGATATTCAATTCAGTGAAATAAGGCTCAACTCAATAATAAGACACTCGACTCTTGGTACTCAAACTCTGGATACCCAACTCAATATAAGCAACAATAAGAGATGCAATGTATGGAAAGCTTTTTAAACAGTAGAAAGTAACTCAATGTATTTAAGAATACAATATACTCAGTTTGTATGCAAGGATACAATATAAAATCTGTTTGTATATGAAATACAAGTAAACTCTGTGTATATAAAAATACAAATATCTTTGTGGGAGTTTCTCTAACCGACAACCATCACTATGAGCTATGTGATGATACAATGTCTCGCCCAGGCTGCTAGAACTATCTCATACTTTGTCAGGGTATAAGACCTACTCACTAAGTGGATCCACTAGTTTATGCTAAAAACATTAAGAAATCATCTAAAAAGTATGACCCTTTCTACCCACGTTGGCTACATGGTTTATGGGGGCTGTGAGTTATCTGAACTCACCCTAATATCGGTGCTCAATTATACTCCTAAAATATACTAGCATATGTTTAAAAACATTACTTTTTCTGTGGTTTGAGATTATTACTCAAAAATCTTTCTCTTAAAAGAGATGACACTCAAACTGCTCTAAACTCTTTTGAAAATTTCAATTTCCCTTCATCTTAAATGTGAAAACATTTACTCTTAGGAATATTTAGTTCCCATATATCATTTTAAAGAAAATGAACTCAACTCTGCTCTTTCTCAAAAACGTTTCAAAATCATATTATAATATGATCATTGATGACTCGGGAAGTCATACTGCATAAACATTGATGGTATATCTAGATACCATACTGCTCATACATTGATGTCATACTCAATTGTCATACTAATCATGTTTTAGAAATCTCTTTTCTCAAAACTCACCTTTACTTTCTTAAAACTCAGTTTAAGAACTCAAGTGTTGGCTTTAAAAAGCTTTTAAAAATCTATAACTCAAATCATAGGGTTCATGTGGAATTATGAACATGAACGACTCAACTCAAGGATCTCAATAGCAATAAAGAACCTTAGTACTCAGAACTCAAGACTCAATGATACTACTCAACTCTAGATTGCTCGACTCATAGGGTTCATGCGGAATTATGGGCATGAGCTACTCAACTCAAAGACTTCATGGCTAACATGTAATAGTTCCATGATTAGGAAAGACTTCATGGCTAACATGTAATAGTCCCATGATTAGGAATATAATCTCAAAAAGAGTAGGAACTCAATGCTCAAAGACTTAGAACTCGGAGATACTACTCCTCTCAATGACGCTCAATGTATGAAGTTCATGCGGAATTTATGGGCATGAACGACTCGACTCGAGGGTCTACATAACAATATGAAACTCATGTATACGACTCTTCTCATTCTCATACTTACTTTCTCAAAACTCAATAATTAGGAATAGAATTTTTAAAAGAAATATGAACTCAAGAACTCAAAATCAACTTATCTCAAGAATACTCAAATCTAGGAAAAATATCCTAAATTACTCTTTTAACTTGATTAGAAGCCTTGATACCCTAACTTGAACGTAAACAACAAAAAAACCTTTCTTCATATTCTTGAAATCTCTATGGCCAAGATTTATGATTTTCATTAGTGATTCATAATTGTATGGAGGAACTTGAGTTGGAAATAATGGAATTCTTGGAGAAAAACTTACCTTGAAGAAGAATCTTGAAAAAGATTGAAAGAATCTTGAATGGAGTCTTCTACTTTGATTTTTCCTTAGGGTTTTGCCCTAGGGTTTGAGAGAGAAGAAAATGATGGACTAAAAGATGAAAATCTGATTGTTTTTAGCCTTTTATTAGTCAAGAAATTCGTTAAGGGTTTTCTTGGAGGTAAAATAACAAAAACAACAATTTCCCGTTGGCTAATTCGTAACAGCATTGTATAGGCTACTAAAATAGTCATAACTTTTTACTCAGAAATTGGATTGACGCGAAATTGGTGGCATTGGAAAGTAGATTCAAATACCTTTGCTCTTTATATTCTAAGAGATATGATCGTTTGAATTTGACCCAAGTAGAATCTTACATAAAAACCTAATCGATAAGGAAAGTTCAAGAATTTAAATCCTTAAATTTCAAGAACGAAATTACGCTAAATAAATCATGATTGGTGTGTGGTTGAACGAACTCAACACTATGAAAGCTTACATACCTCAAAGAACTAGGTTCTTGGCGAAAAACTTGAATTTCTTGAACTAACGCTTGAAACTTTGAACTTTTTCTCCTCTTGAATCTTATCTCTAAATCCCTAAACACTTTTGGGATGAATGAAACTAATTCTAATCAGTTTAGACTTCTTAAACCTTACTAAAAACGCTTAAATCTGATTGGGTAGGGAAAAAACCAAAATACCCGTCATATTTTCGGGTAACTTTCCTTAATTGGACAGTCTGACTTCAAACATGCATATCTCCCTCATACGATCTTGAAATTTAGCAAACTTGGTGGCGTTGGAAAGATAATTCGAATACCTTTCATTGAATATCTTATGGGCCACATAACTCATCCTTTACTGAAGGTTATGGTCATTTTAAGTTGACCCAAAATTTAGAAGAACCTAGGAATGACTTGAATGAACTCTCTTTAATTCTTTTTGGAACTCAAGGTGCTATATCTAGAGACCTTACACTTAAGAAATTTTAAATTCCCGGTAAAATCTTACTCACAACAAAGGATGATTCGAGTCTCAGTTCGAAAAAATTTCTAAGGTGTTACATTAATAATTCACGTCGAATTTATAAATATTTTCAATAATTCTATGGTCATTTAATGCGTATAGTCATCTGATTTTGAAGGCAATAATTGATCGTAATAAATTGATAATGAAGAGTCATAGCATGAAGTCCACACAAATACTTGATTCCTTCAATAAATTTCCCCATTTTTCCTTTATCTATTCTGTTTTTTTTTTCCTCCAAATTCCAGTTTAGTCTGCTCTTTCTTATTTTCTTGATTTTAGGTTACTTTTGTGTTTTAGATATGTATCTGAGACCTTTCCCAATTAGAAATACTTAAAATTGTAATATCAATTGTTATTACTCTTTTCTGTTTTTATTTCCTATTTTATTGATTTTAGATTTGTTTTTTTTTTTTTGCAGGTTAATTGTGCATGAATTCGTTTATCAGATTTAAGTTATTTTATTTGGGAGATATCTTCAAATTTTTGTTGTAGGTGAATTTTTCCTTAATCTGAAGATGATATTGTTGACATATATTATAATAATTCTCTAGCTCTTTTCTCACACAAATTAAAGTGTTTGTGTTCGTGCAAATGTTAATTATTATCTTTTTAATTTTTTCATGAAACTTTAGTAAAATTTAAATCAGTATATATATGTGTGAGAGAGAATACCAATTTGGATTATATTATACAAAAATAATAGAAATATTTTTGTATAACATTTCTATTGTTTTTTATATATTTTTTCATGTTGGAATATATTTTTATAATGGGTCTGATTAAGGATTTTAAAAAAGAAAAAAAAAGGTCTAAATCAGAGTTGAAATCAATAGCTACTTCTCTTTCACTTTGAGGTATGGTGATTTCATGTGATTTTGTTTAAAATAGTTTTAAGTTTTATAAAATACATCAAAAAAATCAAAAAATATATTTTCTGCTGTGAGTATTTTAAAAGTGATACTTTCACAATTACTCTCATCTTCCTTTATCTTTTCTGAAATCCAAAAATTCTCTATGAAGGAAGATAAAAGGAATGAATGAAAGATAATAACAAGAATGAAAAATAACAAAAAAGGGTTATAATTAAACCTTGTGTTGATTTTCTTATATTTTCTTGAAATTAACATTATCAGTTTACAAGAAGATTACGACATTACATAAAAAAAAAAAAATTGTACTATTTTTAATTTCAATATCTTTATAGAAGAAGATTATAACAATACTTTTTGAAATAATAAGTATAATTTGAATGATCATATGGAAAATCAACTCTAGTAAAGAACTTGAACTCATTATGATCAACTCTCACCTAAGTTTAAAATGGTACTACTATTTTCCTACCAATTATGCAAACATTCTACTATTTTCCTCAATCTCTTTAAGGTTTCTGGTAAGTGATTCAATAATTTACTTTTGGAAATTAAATTTTGTACAAGATATTGTGCATGGATTCGGATAAATGTAATAGCCTTTTCCTAATTAGATTCTATATTTGTAATCCTTAAATGTAGTATATAAATATCAAATGGCAAATCTTATAACTAAAGTTTATCAAGAAAACCCTATAACTAAAAGGAGAATTCGAAATCCTTTTAACTTACTTTAATCCATCTCTAAAAACTAACCTATTTTTTTTTTTGCTTAAAAATATTTCAAGATGGAAAGAGGCAGAAGAGAGAAGGCAATAATATTACTGGTTGTGACTCTTTCAACATGTTTCTCTGCTTATGGACAAGAAATGATCACTGATCCAAAAGAAGGTAATTTAATTATTTCCTCCTCTTGTGTCAAGCTAGTTAATGATATTTGTAAAGTTTCGTTTGGTATAGTATATAAAAATAAAGCTAAATAAAGTATATTAGTAATGCTTATATTAGTAATATTTGCATTAATTATAGATAGATTATTTTTATTTTTTGTTTGATTTGGTGCATTAAAAATAACATGCATCGCATATAAAGTTTTATTTACAAAGATACCATTCACAATGATAATGAAAAAGATGTAAAAAATAGTTATAAGGGACAACTGTGTCTTTAACCATTATATTGCATGCATTAAAACTAGGGGTATTCACAATTTGGATAAAAATCGATCCAAACTGAAAAATCAAACCAAATCGATTAAATAAATCGATTTTATTTGGATTTGATTTGATTTAGTTTTATATTTTAAAATACTGATAGTATTTGGCTTTGTTTGAGAAAACCGAAGAAATAAACGAACCGACAAATTATATACATATATTTTATCATTATGAGAAAAGACATAAAGTGACACATGAACTTGTCCCGAATTTTCAAAAAAGACACTTTAACTATGCTAGCGTCCTATTATCCCACTAAACAATCTTGTACAAATATTATAAATAACTAATATAATTTTATTTTTACAAATATTTTGTTATAAAATATATTTTCTTGTTTTCTTATTATTTTAACTTTTTTCCTTTTTATTTTTTCTCTTTCTTTCTACTTTCTTCTTCAAAAATTTATTACCATCTCTATTGAAGCTTCTCACTTTCAATGTCACAATTTTTACCAACACTTCACCTTTCTTTTTTTACTACTATTAGTTTTACTCTTTTTAATTTTAAAATTTTATCTAAATATTTTCTTACATTTCGAATAATTTGATAAACCAATTAGATTGCAAGATGATTAGAAAGTATCATATAGTTTTTTTTTATTTGATTTCAATTAAGTTCTTTCATTTTTCGGGGAATTCATTGATTCTTTTAAAATTATCATTTCTAATTTTGAAGTTATATGAAAAGGAGTAATTGATGATACCTTCAAAATTTTAAATTTTCTTAGAAAAATAATTAGTTTTGTTATCAATAATTCAATGAAGTCTAAAAAATAGTATTAATTCCTTTTTATAAAAAATCACTGAAATAAAGAATTTGATTGGAGAAGAAGAAGAAAAAGAAAAGAAAAAAAAATGGGAGAGTGGTTCAACTTGATGTGGGGGTAGGAGGTGAAGAAAAAAAAAATGGAGGGATGGATCACTTGAAAGTGGGGGGGGGGGGGGGGGGGTGGAAGAGGAAGTGTAATTTAAGATGAAATCAAAATTAAAATAAATCAAAAAGTAAGAGAGAGAAATAAAGAAAAAAAAAGATAAAAGAAAAACTTAAAATGAGAAAAAATTACATTTTTAATTAAATTAACACGTGTCATGTAATGATTGGTGTGTGAACACACTTTCTTCTTAAAATTTGGGGTTGATCGAAAAATGATACAATAATATATGTTCAAAATTGTTTAGTGGGGTAATATGATAGTTACAGAGTTAAGGTGTCTTTTTGAAAATTCAGTACAACTTCAATGGTGACTATATGTTTTTTCTCTATCATTATACATACATAATATATTATTTATGTAAACAATTTTAAAGATCTTATATGTGTTTTCATCAAAATTTATTTTTAATCTATTTATGAAAGCAAAAATGTTCAAAACGAGAACTATCTTATTGTTTTCATGTATATGTGTGTCTATGACAATTTTTGGTGGGATTAGAATTGTCATTGTCTCTTCCGTCTAGGCCAAATGGTGAATATTGTGTATGGTTAATAACCAAATCGAACCAAAACCGATAAATGTATATAATAATTGGTTTTGAGAATTTAAAAACTGATTATGTTGGTTTGGTTTTGATTTTGACCAATAATCGATCCAAACCGATCCGTGAACACCCTAATTAAAACCATTGCATTACTAATACCTAAGAATCCATGGTATTAGTAATACACACCTTAATACACAATAGATTATATAACTAATGATTGACTTAGTTATACATAAGTTGGAAAATAATATCAAACAAGGTATTAGTACTATACAAAGCTAATGCGTACATTATTTTTTTCTAATACACTCTATCAAATAACCACTTAGACTAGCAAAATGAGAATTATTTAAGAAGCGGGTACTATCAACTAGAATTTCCCTAGTGGGCAGTGTGGGATAATTGATAATACTGGTGGAATGCGACGGGATAGTTAATAATGATGGGAGATGGAAATAACTATAAATGGATGAAATTGGTTATTGATTTTTTTGAACAAATATTTTAATAATATTTAAATTTGATTACATATCTTAATCATCACATCTATTCAAATCTAGTAAGTGGTTGTAACCGTTTTTTTTTAAGAAATGAAAAGAAAAAAGACACTTATTAGCTAATCTAAATGAATATTTAAGATTGAGATATTAAAGATAAATAATTTAATGACTGAAATCAAAATGATTAAGATATCATACATTAGTTGTAAATAAATGAGACCTTAATAATTTCGAATAAATTTAAATAATTAAGATATATAACAAATTCTTATTTATTATCATTAAGATGTTATCCGTTCAACTATTTCAATGAAGAAACTAAGTACTACTCATGCACTTTAATATTTCATCCGTCCCTAAGTACTTGTCCATTTTTAAATTGACATATCTATTAAGAAAACAATAATTGACACAATGAATTTACCATTTATCCCTAGTAATTATGAAGTAGATGAATTAAGAATTTAAGATTTTCAAGAAATTATATCCTTTTCAGAATTAATTAATTGATGGTACAATAGTCAAAAAAAAATTTATCTTTTTTTTGATTTGTCAAAATGGACAAGTAAAAAAAGAAAAATTTGATAAGTAATTACTCCATTTGTTCATTTTTAATTGTCGGTTTTCTTTTTTTAGAGTCAAACTATAAGAACTTTGACAAACATTTTACTATGTATATTTTCATCATATTGATATGTAAAAAAATTGCAATTTGTAGTAATTTTCGTATAGTTTTTGAATATCTATTTTTTAAAAAAAATAGAATTAATGTAATTTAATTTAAATTTTAAAAACTAGTCAAATTGACTTTCGAAAAACGCAACATGACAAATAAAAATGAACGGAAAGAGCGGTTATAGAGGGAGTTGTTAATTTACAAACAATACATTTAATTATACAATGACAAACAAACATGTCAACCTAATTAATATTAGATTGTATAATTACTAAGTGATAATTACCCTAATAATTACACTCATTCCAATTAGATGGTGACTTTTCAAACGGAATTTTAGGAAGTGGATATTCGTTCTTTGAGCTTAATGATTGTGACTTTTATTTAAAAAATAAAAATATTTAAAATGATTTTTTTCGAAAAAAGATGATAATTATGTAACACAGAGGTATAAATTAGTCAAATTTTAAAACAGAGGATATAACTTCTATGCTTATTGTGTTTTTGCTGAAATCGCATTTGTGAGAGTGTGACCTAATTGATGCAACAAATTGTGTAGTAGTAGTAATTAATTACTGTCGGAATGTTCAGTGAGGGCGCTAGAGGCCATTCATGGGAGACTCGAAGATTCACTGGGCTATTTGAGGCATTGGGTGAAGGAGAAAGACCCATGCACTCATTGGTTTTTTGTGCGCTGCATTCAAAACCAAACGGAAGGGTATCAGCATGTTCAAGAATTGTACGTAACCCTACTGGGTTTCCCTTTCGATCTCTTACCGATTGAGTTTTAGTTTATCTTGTAGCTTACAAAAAATTTTGTGGACTTGCAGGCGTCTGATGAATTTGTCCCTATCTGGTACGCTAGCTCCTGAGCTTGGCCAACTTAAACATATGGAAATTTTGTGAGTCCCTATAACACTCATTTGGTATTTGTTAGAGTGAGTTTAAGTTTCACATTGGTTGGGGATAGACATGTGGTCCACTTTTATGGACCTGGACAATATTTTCCCTCATGAGTTAGTTTTTGGGTTGAGTTAGACTCAAATGTCATATTTTTATTCTTTACATGGTATCAGAGCCAAGTCCATTTCCATTTGGGCTTCTGATCCATGCTCCTGTTGGGCCTGGACGTGAAGGGGAGTGTTAGAATGGGTTAAAGTCCCACATTGGTTGGGATAGACTAGTGGTCTGCTCATATGAACTTAATCAATCCTTTTCTTATGAGCTAATTTTGGAGTTGAGTTACGCTAAAATGTCATATCTTTACAATATTTATTCAGCTCTAATTTTTGGTGATTATGATTTCATATTTTTTTTCAAGGAATTTCATGTGGAACAACATTAGCGGCAACATACCTAAGGAGATAGGCAGCATCACTGCTCTAACCCTACTGTATGTCCCTCTTCAGTGCTCAATTTCACTCTAATCATTGTTAACAGAACCCTTTTTTTTTAGATGATGACCTGAAAAGAATCAATAGTTTGGACAAACCTATGGCCTTTCATAAACTCATTTTCGCTTACTTTCTATTGCAGTGAATTTTGTTATAAGTGATCAGGAAATGAATAAAAAAAATACAGAAACATAAAATGACAGTGTTAAAACTGTTAATTGAAGATATATTAAAATAGTGGTTAAAAAGGTTAGTTTGATAAAGGTTATAAAAAAGTTTCTCCCTCCATTTCAATCTCTGTGTCTTAGTTTGACTTGGCACAAGGTTTTAAAAAGCAAAGAAGACTTCTGAATCTTGTGATCTTAAACTAAAAATGCGTGTTATGTAACAAAATGCGCTTTGATCTTGTGGTCTTAAATATGCCATATAAGATCTTTGATTTAAAGATTTTCTAAATATAGAAAGTGACATTCTTTTTTAAATAGACTAAACGGAAAGTAAGACACATAAATTGAAACAGAGAGAGTTGTTTAGTAGAAAAAACAATGGAATGTTATCAAACATTATGTGACGTGGTAACATGGGAAGAGTGTCATATAAGTTGAAGGAGGGAATACTCTGCATTTGTGAAAAATAGAAGGAGAGACTTCTAATTTTTGGCAGTCAAAATAGAACCTTTCAATGTCATTCAATTGCTAATCAATTTGTAGAAGGCAGAACGAAGTGATAGTACATAGTTTTTGTTCCATGTAAGACAAATAGTGATGATTCTCAGCCACTTCAGGTCCTGTCTGCTATGTAATCTTGAAAGATGAAGTGATGGTTTGGAGTGTTAAGAATTCATCACCAACTTAATTATTTACTTAAGATAAATCAAGAAAAATCTAGAATATTCCGGAGGTGTAAAGAATTGAAGGAAGATCTCTAGAATGAGTATTCTAGAAAGAATAGTTCTAGAAAAAGATAGTTAGGAATATTCTAGAATAGAGTAGTATGTATCTCTCTAGATTCTTCCATCACCTCCTATAAATAGAGGTGGTCCATTTGAGTTGTACACAACCAAGAAAGCAACCAAGCAAGAAACAAAGTAACAAACCAAGTAAGAAAGTAAGAGAGCAAACAAGAGTGAGTGCTCAAGTAAAGAGTGTTGCTGAAGCAAGCAACAAGTGTGATCAAGATTGTAAGACCGAAGCGAATTCTTACTTTGATATAATAAAATTCAAGTTGTGAGAAATCAATTGTGTCCATCGTCTCCAAACAACAATATTCAACAAGTGGTATCAGAGCCTGATGAATAAGAGCGAGGTAGTAACTCAAAGGAGATCTTACAAGCTACCGTCGGAGGCTACAAATCGCGAGGCACTAATTAATGATAGATTTTGCAAGCATTCTCAATAGCGTTGAGAAGCTCAACGCAAGCAACTATGGATCATGGAGCACGAAAATGCAATATTACTTTCTTGGCCAAGAATTATGGGATATCATTGGTGGATCAGACACAACACCACCAACAGATGTTGAATCAGCAAAAAGCTGGAAGGTCAAAGCTGGAAAGGCCATGTATGCTCTCACTGTAACCATCGAGGATGAGTTCCTACAACGGATTAAGAATGTCAAGACACCCAAAGAAGCTTGGGACACCTTGGCGATGATTTTTACAAAGAAGAATGATGCGAGATTACAGAGGCATGAAAATGAGCTTTTGTCGATCTCTCAACGGAATATGACAATTAGTCAATACTTCTCAAAGGTAAAATCTTTATCTGATGAAATATCAAAATTAGATCCAAAGAATGCTATCACAGAGACAAGAATGAGGAGAATTATTGTTCATGGTCTAAGGTCGGAGTACAAAGGCATAATTACAGCCACACGAGGGTGGGCCACAGAACCAACTTTATCTGAGTTGGAAAATCTGTTGGCAAATGAAGAAGATTTGGAGAAGCCATTATCAAGTCTTACTATAAAAGACGAAGATAAGGTGCTCTTCAGCAAAAGGCAAGCCTATCAAAAAAGAGAAGCGGAGAGAAGCTCACGGCTAGGGGGAGACCAAGAGAATCAACATCAAAGAACTCAACGACAAAACAAGCAGGCGAAAGGCTTCAACAACCGGCAAATGCAAAAGTGCTACAATTGTGGAAAGAAAGGACACTATGCGAGATATTGTTGGTACAAGAAAGCTAAAGGTAATGTAGCTACTTCTACTCAAAATAAGAAAGATGAAGTCGAAGTTTGGGATTTCGAGACCTCTTATATAGTTGAAGAAACTAATCAACAAGAGGAGGTTGCCACCTGTCACTCTAACAAAGAATAGGAGATTGCACTTGCAACTGTGAGTGAGAAATTGGTCGATTATGAACATGATTGGATCGTTGATTCAGGATGCTCCAATCACATGACTGGTGATGAGAAAAAGCTCATTAACATGAGTGAATATAAAGGCAGTCGAGTTGTGGTGACTGCAAATAATTTTAAAATGCTAATAACTCATATTGGCAAGACGGTGTTTGTGCCTCATCACAACTCAAGACAAATGGAACTTCAAAATGTCTACCATGTTCCAGATATGAAGAAGAACTTATTATCTGTATCGCAACTAACAAATTCTAGTAACTATGTCTTGTTTGGACCAAATGACGTAAAAGTATATCGAAACTTAAAAGTTACAAGCACACCAATCATGAAAGGGAGAAGATTAGAATCAATCTACGTCATGTCAGCAGAGACAACTTATGTTGAGAAAATGCGGAGTAATAAAACAGCTAATCTATGGCATGCACGTCTTGGGCACGTGAGCTATTAGCAAACTAAAAATCATGATGCAACAATCAAACTTAAAAGGTCTTCCCAAGCTTGAGATAAGAGGAGACACTATATGTCTTGGATGTCAATATGGGAAAGCACATCAACTTCCCTATGGAGAATCAAAGTATCAAGCGAATGAGCCATTGGAGCTAGTACACTCAGACGTGTTTGGACCAGTGAAGCAGTCCTCCATCATCGGTTACCGTTACATGGTAACATTTATTGATGACTTCTCAAGGTACGTATGGATTTACTTCTTAAAAGAGAAATATGAAGTATTTGAGAAGTTTAAAGAGTTCCAATATACTGTGGAGAATGATATTGGAAGAAAAATCAAATGTCTCCGTACGGACAATGGGGGAGAATACACGTCACGAGAGTTCAATGACTATCTTAAAGAGAAGTTGATAAGATGACAACTAACTTGTCCGAATACGCCACAACAAAATGGAGTGGCTGAAAGAAAAAATAGACATTTGGCAGAGATATGCAGAAGTATGCTGCATAGTATAAATGAACCAACAAGGTTTTAGGCAGAATGCATGAAAATTGTTGTCCATAGCACCAACAGGTTGCCGCAAGCAAGATTGAGATTCATCTCACCATTTGAGAAACTTAAAGAGATGATTCCTACCGTAAGCAACTTTCAAGTTTTTGGTTGTGTGCGCTATGTGTTCGTGCCAGATCATCACCGCAGCAAGTTTGATAAGAAAGTTGTTCGTTGCATCTTTGTTGGATACGACGAACAAAGAAAAGGATGGAAGTGTTGTGACCCTACCACAAATCGGACATATGTGTCAAGAAATATGGTATTTGACGAAGCGTCATCTTGGTGGTCCAAAGAAGTTTCCCTACCAGACTCAATAGCTCTTGAACAAAAGCTTCAAATAAGCTCAATGAAGTAGAACAAGGGAACAAGATATAATCTAACCAAGAGGTATCTCCACAAAAGGAAAAGAAAAGCTTATGGCAAACTGGAGCTTGTGAAACACCAAATGAGTTGCAAGAAGAAGTCCAAGAAGAGTCACAATCACAATTGAGGAGGTCTACACGACTGAAGTGTCCAAATACTAAGTACATAGATGCAGCATTAACCGAGGTGGTTAACATCAAAGAGGCACCTACCTTTGAAGAAGCTTCAAAGAGTAGGGATCGAAATAATTCGACGAAGGTGGAGATCCTCAAAAGGTATGGACAACATGATGCTTGCAAAGTTTCAGGAATCGCTCATAACAGACGCAAAGAAAAAATTAAGTTGGTGTTGAGGGGGAGTGTTAAGAATTCATCACCGACTTAATTAATTACTTAAAATAAATCAAGAAAAATCTAGAATATTCCAGAGGTGTAGAGAATTGAAGGAAGATCTCTAGAATGAGTATTCTAGAAAGAATAGTCTAGAAATGTTCTAGAAAGAATAGTTCTAGAAAAAGATAATTAGGAATATTCTAGAAGAGTAGTGTGTATCTCTCTAGATTCTTCCATCTCCTCCTATAAATAGAGGTGGTCCGTTTGAGTTGTATGCAACCAAGAAAGCAACCAAGCAAGAAACAAAGTAACAAACCAAGTAAGAAAGTAAGAGAGCAAACAAGAGTGAGTGCTCAAGTAAAGAGTGTTGCTGAAGCAAGCAACGAGTGTGATCAAGATTGTAAGACCGAAGCGGGTTCTTACTTTGATATAATAAAATTCAAGTTGTGAGAAATCAATTGTGCCCGTCATCTCCAAACAACAATATTCAACATGGAGTTCATGTTTAATTTACTGTCAGGAGTTTCTGGTATAATATCTACAGAACTAAGTATACTAACTACTTGAACTCATCTGATGGAAGTTCTAAATATCATACATAACACTAGCGACAGCTACAAGGATTGACTGATATTCCATTTATGTTGTCTTGATTGAGAAATGAAGCTCTCATATGGCTATTATGCCAGCTAGAAGTCTTACCTTTATCATGAGAAGTCACATATACATATATTGGAATTTCAGTTCTCCATATAAGCCTCAATCAACATTTTTGAATCCCTGCTTCAATTGAAGCCCGAATATGCATATACCTCACTGTTGACAATCAGTACTATTGCTTACAGATTGTTTTAGCTGGAGATATCTAATAAACAACTTGCATATTGTCTGCATATATGGATTTTTCACATTTACGAGAAACTCCAGTCCAACTACCATTCTTCTGTTTTTGCAGGCTTTTGAGTGGAAATCATATATCAGGTTCTTTACCAGAAGAGCTTGGTTATCTTCCTAACTTGGTTAACTTTCAGTTGGATTCAAATGATATATCAGGACCAATACCAAAATCGTTTGCAAACTTGCCAAAAGTTGCACATTTGTGAGTTCTCCATAGAATCCAAAGATACTGTACTGTTTGTGGTGGCATGGAGATGTTTAGTTTCTGTACTGATCATTCTTGTTCTGGATGCAGCCATATGAATAACAATTCTATAAGCGGTCAAATTCCTCCAGAGCTGTCTGTTTTACCTCTTCGACACTTGTAAGAATCACCTTATCCAACAATATATAAATACTAGTAAGTTTCATGTTTGGATTTACTTGGATGTGCATTATTTCAGCCTTCTGGACAACAACAACTTATCAGGTCACCTTCCACCAGAGCTTGCACGGATGCCGAGCTTAAAGATGCTGTATTACCTGCCTTTGAAATCTTAAGCTTTTGCTGTTTCAATTTGTCTAGATTCTCAACAATTTAATGTCATTTCAGCGTTAATAAACAAACCCCAACACCTCCTTCCCCCCTCACAATATCAACTTTTGCAGTCAACTTGACAACAATAACTTTGAAGGCTCTGTGGTTCCGGCTTCTTACAGCAATATGTCCAAACTCGTGAAGTTGTAAGTTACTAATATCTCGGGTTTTGTTGGTTTATGTCCTCTTTCCTGTCTGATGATATACATGCCCATTTTCACCAAGCAAGAATATAGAATTCTTAAGGAGATGTTTGCCATCACTCAAGGTTAAAGACCGTATTTATCCCAAACTTTGATCAGAAAACAAGTCCCCAGTGAACAGTCAGAAATAAATATATTCTCCCTTGTGATGTGACCTTTTCAGGCGCTAGAATTACAAAAGAGGATAAACAAAAAGTTTTCTCCATATTACATCAATGTACTCCCAATAAGGGTTTCCCACCCCCTTCCTCACAATAAATGAGAGGCTACAGCAGTATTTTCATTCTTTGGCAGTGACCTTTTGACATAACATGGAGTAACAATCTAAGACTGACGGAGGAACTCAATACTAATTTACTATATTATGAAGCTTATTGTGGTCATTCTATGATTATATTCACCATTCTTTAATTAATATTCTGCATATTATTTCATCAAACCTGCAGGAGTCTTAGGAACTGCAACTTGCAAGGAACAGTTCCTGACCTGAGCACAATACCAGGCCTTCTGTACTTGTAAGCATACTTCATTGAGAAATTCCTCTGTCCAATTAAACCACATTTTGAAGCTTATGTTCTTGTTGTTATGACCTCTTATAATGTTGATAGCTGCTAAATTTTGCTTAATAGTACCAGATGAAGTTGAACTCGTCTGCCATTCAATTTGCTTTGAAAACTTGAAAGATAGACAGTTAAATTTACAACCAATGACAATGCATCTGATGCCAATTTCTCATGTCAGGGACCTTAGCAGAAACCAACTCACGGGAAATATACCTTCCAATAAGCTGTCTGATAATATCACTACCATGTAAGATTCTGGTAAAATATTAAACTGCTTAAATTTTTACTGGTTAATACAGCCAACTTTTAATCTCACTCCCTTCTTCTTCTTCTCTCCTCCCCCTCCCCCACTCTCTATCAGTATTTGTGGGTAGGTGGTCTAATGGAATTACTGCCTTAACATAAACTCTTTTCTTTTTGATGTTTGAGTAACTCAGTCTTGGTAATATCAGACTCTCGATAGTGAAGTAACTACTTTGATGATGATTGCAGCATTCTGTCAGGAAACATACTTAATGGTTCTATTCCTTTGAACTTTTCTGCCCTTCCAAATCTGCAAAGGCTGTAAGGAGCTTCATTTGTTCAATCTTTGTTTCTTGATCCTCAGGTTATTTCAAATTTCATTTCGATACTATAATAGCTGCAGTATTGACACTTCCTTTCCTAAAATTATTTTTCTTGTAGGTCACTCAACAATAATAGGTTAAGTGGTTTTGTGCCAACTACCATTTGGGAGAATAAGACATTTTCCCCAGATGCAAAACTTATATTGTAAGAGTATCATTTGTTCAGTTTCCTCTTAACAGTACTTTATTTTTCATTTTTGTGCTGTATACTGCCCCACAATCGATTGGCTATATAAAGTTGTTAACCATAAGGTATAGATAAAAGCTTTTTGTAGAGAATCAACCAAAATTTATGTGTCAATTTCAGTTTGATAGCTATTCAGTGTACAAGTAGTTTTGGATAGACAAAGAAGTAATAAGTACAGATATGGAATAAAGTGTCTATTGGCAACAAGGTTTTTCCATCTCTATACAGTTAAAGTACAACAAGGGATAATGTGTCTGGTGTTTTGTTTTGCTAGAGGTATTATAGCACGTATACTTTCCTCTTACTAAACCATGCCATGTTTGACTAGAAGTGGCCCTCATATGTTAACACCTCAGATTTCTCGGCTGATCCAGTTGATCTCCTTTGTGCAGGAACCTTCAACGTAATTTACTCTCAGATATTTCAGGGATTCTTGATCCTCCTCCAAATGTCGATATTATGTAAGACCATATTTCTGCTAGTCTTGAACATACATATTTGTGTTACTTTCAGTTCTCAGCTTTTATATTTACTAGTTCTTGGACACATACAATGCATGTGTATTCCATACTAATTAATACAAATGAAAAGAAAACTCAAAGGGTCTGTTTGGAAAACCACCTGGTAATTGGAATTGGTGTAATTACTAGGGTAGTAATTACCAATCTAGTAATTACACAGTCTAGTAATTACACTGACTTGTTTGGTTGCCACAGTGTAATTACACATGTCATGTTTGGATGCCACACTGTAATTACACATGTTGTGTTTGGATGTACAATTGCAATCATAAAATTATATTAAATTTTAAAAATAAAAATTAATTATTTAAAATTTATACTAGACAAATAAGAAACTTTATAAATAATATTAAATTAAATATTTAAGAGATATATTCTTTTTTTAAAATATATTACTTAATAAACATATGTTCTTAACTAATATTATGAAAAAATTATTGATTTATATTTTTTCAAATTAATATATTTCAATTGAATTGATAATAAAAACTAAAAGTATGAAGTTTCTACGAACATCCTGAAATGCATGTTTGATAAAAAGATTAATATATAAATAATATGTCATAAATTATTAAATATTCGACAAAAAGATAATCTATCAAGTCTTATTAAAAAATGACTTGCAATGTGAATTCAATATTACTAAAACAAATGAAACTGAAAATATAACATAAGTTATAAATTCAAAACAAAAAATTTAACATAATACTCTTATAGCAAATTTCAACATAGCATACATAAATATGATTTATTTTTTATTTTAAAAAAAAAACCGTAAGTCTATAACCTTACTTAACAATAAATTCTATTTTAATTTAAAAATTAGAATACTAATAAAATTATGCTAATGAGAAATAAGCATGGCATAAAGAAATAGATAATACGAAAAAATTGCATAGAATCACGTGAAGTAAGGTTGAGAACAAGAAGAAAATGAAATATAATAATATAAAATAAAAAATAAACATCTAGAAATTTTTAGAATAATAAAAATAAAAATAGAACTTAAAATAATATAAGTGAAAAAAATAAAAATAGAATTAAAAAAAATTAAAAATTAAAAGGTGATCAGTTGGTAATTACACCATGTAATTACCAGCAATTCACAACCTCTGTCTATGAATTGGAAAGTGTAATTACCCCCTGCCAATTACACCAATTACCTGCTGACCAAGTAATTACCCTGTCCAACCAACAGAACAATGTTAATTACACCAATTACACCAAATCCAATTACCAGGGTGTCCTTCCAAACAGGCCCCTAGTAGAAAATGAAAGTTCGAAGGAGAAATTATACCGTGCAGTAGGCTCTGCTCCTCATTCTCATTCGTTACCCTTCAGTATTCTATTTTGAATATAGGTAACTATTTTTATATATAAAGTTGGGTGTCATTATATCTTGAATAATGAAATTGAAGTAGTTCTGGAAATCATAAGAGAGAAAATCATTTGAAAAAGAAAAGAGAAAAGCAAACCCACAGTATCAACAATCTTATATCCAGTTATTGCAAGAAGAAGTTGCAAAAACTTTTCTACTATAGATCATCCAATTGCCATAAGTACGAATATCTAATCCAAATACCACAATGTTTGTTTATTCATAATATTTGAAAAGAAAAATGAGTTGCCCAGTCTTCGAACGCATGAGATGACAAAATGCATGGCAACCAAAATTAAATTCATACAAGTGCATATGAATTAAACTTCACGTGAAACTAAAATTCATGGCTGATTTTGTTTAAAACTGTCAAGACCCTAAAATCCCAAGCTGTGATGGCACCTACGCAAATCCCGTAGGTGATTCAATTACAATACTAGATCCATTTTAGCAATTTAAACCGTGGAATTAAAAGGGAAACCAGTTAATAAGGCAAAAGCAAGTGTTGCAGGAAATACACGATACGCCACCCAAAACCTGGTTCACAAGTGCAAGAGCTTCTAAAGTAGGATTACAATTCTCAATAAGTACTATGAATGTCCAAAAAGGAAAGATAGAAATAAATAAAAGGAATGGAGTCAGGTGTCTTGGAATAACCAAGCAGCTCACCCCGAAATCGAATACTCCAATCTATCACCAATTAGATGCAAGATAACCTATCACTCATACTCGGAACAAAATCTGCACTCCAACAGTGCAAAAAACAAGGGTGAGTATGAGAAACATGTGTACTCAGCAGCATCGTTGATCGACCCTAAATGAAGCAATAACGAGGGTTGGTTATACCATGCTTACCTTCACACTTCTCAATAACCATATCATTGACAAGTGTAAAGAATCCAAACAGTTAAATGAACAAGGTAGTTACAATTATCAGAATTCATCAAGTCAGGCAAGTAAGCTTCAGATAATGTCAACCAAACAGGTAAGAATCAATATGAAGTACGATAACCAATGCAATGCAAGTGATGTGAGATGAGATGCAATGCAATGGCCAATGCACCAGTACACACACTCCTGCGGTAGGTAGTCGGGACTCATGGAGGACTCGCAAGGTCCATATACTGCCCCCACAATCCGGTCTGTAGACCCATCGGGTAAAATAGTATCATCACTCCATCCAGAATCCGGTCTCTTAGACCCATCTGATAATCACTGTATCATCGTTTCATCCGGAATTCAGTCTTTTAAACTCATCAGACTAACCATATGATTCATCAAGTATATAATGCATGAGACATCATATGAAAGCATAATAGAATACTAGAGTTATGGAATACATGAACAGATAAAATGCCTTTCAACTAGTTCATACTTCAATTTACAAATAATAGTGAGTTATGAATATCAGATGGTCATACAAGCCATGTATCAACTAAAAGCTCAATTAGTCATGTTCTTACCCACTGTTATCATATAATTTTTTTGATGGGTAAAAGTTTTTATTAGTATGGTACCAAGATAGCACAGGACTAAGTACAAAGCTACAACATCTCCACAATCATACTACATATTCCCCGCTAAAAGATCCAAAAACAAAAAAACAAATATTGGTCCGTCCTATCTAAAGTACTACTATAACACCAAAAAAACAAGTTTTTTGATACATTTATTTTTTACTCTAGCAATCTACGGTCTTTTTCCCTCAAAGCATGTCTTGTTCCTTTCCAGCCAAACAGTCCAAAATATGCAAATGGGAATGGTCCTCCATATCTGTTTCGCTCTTCCCTTTACTCTTTGAGATTGCCAAACTTCCAACAGACTATTGATCCTGTGATATAACCAGAGACACACCCATAATGTTCAGAAACAAATTTCCAGCATTGTCTTGAGAAACTGCAATGTAGGAACAAGTGCTCAACTGTTTCCTGCTCCCTGTTACAAAAAAACATCTGCTGCACATGGAATAGTCTCTCCTTTGCAGGTTATTTTGGTTTAAACGAGCATCCCTGGCAGCTAACCAACCAAAGCAGGCTGCTTTCAAAGGTGCCTTGGTTCTCCAGATCATTTTCCAGGGCCAGTAAGGAATACCCTGATTATTCTGCTGTAGAAACATTTTAGAAGAACTTTTGATTGAAAATAATTTATCCCTGTTATGGACCCAACTAACACATCTGTTTTATCTCAATCAATTAAGCATGTGTTCAGTTGTTCCATCAGTTGACCGAAACTTTCTACTTCTCTATCATTCAAGTTTCTCCTGATAGTAATATGCCAGCCTGAGTTTCATGGAAATTTAACAGGTTACATAACGAAGAATCAACAAGTTTTTCATTATGATGGAGCCAGTATACATTTGCTTTTTTGATTAATTCTAAAAACAAATTGCTCAACTTCTATCTCGGTTAAATGTGTTCTAGCTTCATCTGATAGCTTATGCATGTTTGTGTGCAACTGTGTGTGCCATATTTGCTGGTTGCACAAATTACATTAATAATGTGATGGGGTTAACCCATTTCCTGATATTTTAACTTGCAAATATTTTCAATGGCATAAAGTTCCGGCTCTTCTTATCACTCTTTGAAATTTCTGATTAAGCATTCATCAAATTATGACACTGAATAATAACTTTCAGGCTTTATGGAAATCCTGTATGTGGAAATGCAAATGAGCGTCAGATTACCCAATTTTGTAAACCAAAAGATGGAGATGAAGAGTATGGAGTCTTTAACAATTCCATTCCAAGTTGTGCAGCCCAGCAGCCTTGCAACAGTTATTCCGAACATGTCCCAACATTAGCGGATGGCTGCTTTTGTGCAGCACCTTTTGGAGTTGGTTTTCTTTTAAGAAGCCCTAGCTTTTCAGACTTTCCGCCACATTACAGTGACTTTGAGCAGTGGATAAAAGACAGTGTTAACTTGAATATTTATCAGATATACATTCATTCTGTTGCATGGCAAAGCGGTCCTAGGCTTAGGACGTTTTTGAAATTTTTCCCTCCACGTATAAATGATTCCAATGATTTTGCCAAATTTAATGACAGTGAGATAGTACGGATCGCAAACGTATTTGCCACCTTTAATCTTACTGGAAGTGATGTCTTTGGCTCATATGACCTGCTCAATTTCACTGCCATGGGATATAGTTCTGGTATGTCTCCAAACCCATTGTGTTTTTGCATAAGTAGGATATAATCTTTAATGTTATTCACAGATCAGATTGATTAAATGTGGACATTTTCAGTTGTAGTTGTGTAATGATTTCCTGAGGAATTTAAAGTAAAACCAAATTGAATCAAGAAAAAAAAATGTGAATCTCGTGTGCCCGTATGATTTTTTTCTTTTATTCTTGCTGATTCTTGAATATAATTATTATGATTATTATTAATGTCGTTTATCTTTACTGGTCATGCTCAGATACAAACTCTCTTTCCCGTTGTGCTCCATTTCGTTTCTGAAAATGTCTATTTATATCATCTATCTTGTGATATGGAACACAGTTTCTTCATGTTGTCGTTGAAGTATGCGAGTAAGAAAATTCAATGAAATGGTTTAGATACCCATGCATTATTGAAGCTTAACATCCTCATAGACATGCTAACCTGACAGAGATGCTAGTGATTCTTAGAGACTTTTGAGTACATTACTATAAGTTCTTAATTAAGTAAAATCTACAGACCCATTCAGAAACTCACGAGGAATTGCCTACTATTGTTTTATTTTTTATGTAAAGAAGAATTTGTTTATTAATGATACAGAATCTGTTTAACGAAACATTATAGAATCTTTGTAAGAAGAACAAAGATCTACTTTTTTATTTTTGTATTCTGTAAAGATGTTTCACAACACAGTCTTTGTCCTGAATATATATATCATTGTTACCTTTCTCAAAAAAATATGCTACCATATAAGAGAGACAATAACTTGCTCTGTTCTTGTCATTCTTCCTGCTTTCTCAAGATCAAATTCTGAAAATTTTCATTCTTGCAGCCCTTTTTCCCCCGTTGGGGGGAGGGGGAAGCAGAGTAAACATAGGCACCATGGCTGGAATTGTCTTTGGATCCTTATGTGCTGCAGCTGTGCTACTTATGGCCATAATATTCGTGTTTCTTAAAATGCGTCGAAGGTTCCACGTTTCAAAAGATCAATCATGTGAGTTAATCTTCAGTTATCGTATGTGACTTTGCCTCAGCTATGGGGAGTTTCTTCTCCATTTCTTTCACTCACCCCCGTTAGGACCTGCTGGTTAAGTAGTCAATAGACTTAACTTTTCTTGGATATTCTTATGAATCACCAAAAATGAGGCCGTGAAACCACATTTTTTGAGCGGTTCAAGCATATAACGCAAACTTCACACCTTATAATTTCCAATTTCCAGCTTCTGTAGAACAAAAGAACCATCTTTTTTGTATGTGGCAAACTATCTTTCTTAGTACGTTTGTTGGTAATTTAACTATGATATTACTTGATGTTTACTTTAAGTTTCTTTTTAGGAGAGAGAGTCTGGTGCTTTAATTCCTCACATGGCCAGAGAATTTTACGGGTTTTATGGAAAGTTTATGCATATTGCATTTTACAATAAGCTCTCCGCCAATGCCCCATCACCCCTAAAACAAAAAAGTGGAAAAGAAATAAATAGAAAGTGTGCTGGGCATGTATAACTAAGTAATACCCTTGTTGTAATGCGTCTGTTATTAGTATATTAATTATACTACAATTTATGTTCTTTTATTAGTCAGGGTTAATTGATATTCTTAAACAACATTATACCCAGTGTAGTCCCACAAATTAGGGCCCGAAGAGGGTAGAGTGTACCCAGACCTTACCCCTACCTCAAAGGTCTCAGGTTGTCTCCGATGATCCTCGACTCAAGAAAAACAGCCCAAAGTAGTCTAGAAAAAGAAATAATGGAAGTATAAGAAACAACAAATAGTAACAAAACAATATTACACAAAACACTATGATAGTCGAAGTACAAGGAACAATAGATAGTAACAGAAATTAATTGATATTCTTAAAGTGAAAAACATTAGTTGAAGCCAACTATTGTATCAAAGGTTCATTTGCATTGAAGTAATTGTTGAAAATTGCTTTTGTTGCTGCAGATTTACTAGGAATAACAAGTAGTTTAGTTGTAGGAGGAGTCTTCCGTTGAATTTAAATTTAAATCTAGTTGGATATATTTAATTGAGATAATTTAGGATTTTGAATTTTATTTTGCAGAATTTCTGATTTCAAGTTACTATTTTAAGCCCTCTATACTTAGCAAAATTATTGAAATACATAGTGTAATTACTTTCAAAAAAATTTTGGTGGCACCTTCTTTTAAAATAACCAAGTGGTGTCAACGCTTTCTTTGATATTAGGGCCCGTTTGGCCATGCGATATGAAATAATGATATGGAATCATAATATGAAATCATGCTTTTTGGAATCAACATAAAATCGCATGTCCAAACGCTGATTTCATTTCACGATTTCATATCGTGACATGATATCACATGGCCATACGCCTACTTATTGAATCTGTGAGTTCATAATTTGTGAGTTCATTGAAGTACTTTCAACCACTTTAACCCATATATATTTTCAACCCATTTTTAATCCGTGCTTATTTATAATGCGCATGGCTATTTCAACCAATACCAATTTCAACTAAATTTTAATTCATGCTACTTTCAAACCCATTTTTCAACCATGACAAGCAATCGTCTCTGTTTGAGTGTCCCACAAATTTTCACCAGTGAGAACTATCAAATTTGGTGAGTGAAGTTCAAGTCTTCCTATGAAACGTATAATTCATTGCGATGTAGTGTTGGAAGAGAAGTTTTTACAACACTTTTTGCAAATTTTATAATTGTCCATATTAAAACACTTTCAAAAGAGCTTTCAGGCAGAAAATGTTATTGAGGTGCTTTTTATGCACAAAACAAAAAGAACAAGAAAGATTCATGTTACAAAAGTATGCAAAGTTGGAGACACTCAAAATAATCCTCAAGCACAAACAACAGAAATAGAAATTGAGGAATAACTTTTTTAAATTTCAGCAACAAAAGCAAAGGAGTGTTGGAAATAGTTTTTGTTATTGCAGATTTACAGAATAACTAGTTTAGTTGCAGGAGGAGTATATGTTTGAATTTTAAATTAGTTTAGTTGCAGGAGGAGTATCTGTTTGAATTTAAATTTAAGTTTTGTTGAGATAGTTTAGGATTTTGAATTTTATTTTGCAGATTTTCTGTTTTCAAGTTGTCTATTTAAAGCGCTCTATGCTTGATAAAATTATTTAGAGACATTTTAGAATTGTTCTTCCAATCTTTTTTGATGCACCATCTTTAAAAAAATAAAAAACAGTCATGCTATCATCACCTAAGCTTTTTCCTTTCATTCTTTTATGAAAACTTTTCATGCTAATGTTTTCAATGAATATCTAACTATGAGTAATTGAACCTTCTATGTCATTAATCTCTACCCAAGACCACATGGAACTCATAGTAATGTTCCTTTCATTTCTTTTGTAGTGCCAAAATTTCCAATGCGAATAGAAGGTGTTAAGGCATTGGGTTTTAAGGAATTAGAGGCAGCAACTAACAGTTTTAGTAGTACAACTATAATTGGTCAAGGAGGCTATGGAAAGGTCTACAAAGGCATTTTGGCAGAGGGCACAATAGTGGCAATAAAACGTGCACAACAAGGCTCATTACAGGGGGAAAAAGAGTTCTATACTGAGATAGAATTACTGTCACGTTTGCATCACCGAAATCTGGTTTCTTTGGTGGGATACTGTAATGAAGGAATTGAACAAGTAAGATTCTCCAAACTGGAAAAATAATACACAATATATATATATATATATATATATTCTTATGGTGATCGTCTCAGTTCAATAGTCAACTTCTGATTGCCCAGTTCTGGTTGAACACCTAGGCCAAAATTGAAATTTGTGCCTTGTTGATCATTTTGAATTCCTTGCTGCCAGTGTGCAGAAGCAATCAAGCATAACATCAATCACCTTCTACAACTTAGAGAAATCTATTTGATATCAATCCAGATGCTAATGAAATGACAAGCATCACATAAATGATAGTTAAATTGCAGCGCAAAGTTCATAGACTTAGCTGATTCTTCTGTTAAAGTAAACTCAAGCAAAAGTCTTCTGAGATAGTATTTTCATCATATATCTTTTTTTGTCACCAATTTTTATCACATGTTAAGTGATTCAATTTGTGAGCAAATCCAATCTACAGTACTTAGATCACTAAATATTTAGTTCAACCAGCAGTCCCATCTATGAGCCACTCATCAGTTACATCCCTCATACTTGCGTACATACTCTGGTTGCATTAGTGAAATGCATGTCTTCTGAAAAATTAATCAAATTAAGAAACAGATGGAATGATAAGAAAGGATATTAAGTTTTGTAGTTTTCTGTTCTACTTTTGTAATAGTTGGTTTCATGTGCATGCAGATGTTGGTGTATGAGTTCATGCCAAATGGTTCCTTACATGATCTTCTCTCTGGTATGTGATGTATCCTTCCTTCGCCTATGGTGTCATTTGACTTCCTTTTGTTAGAATCAAGCACATTTATTCTCCTTTTTTCACTTTTTCTACTGGTGTTCTTTATTTTTATCCAAAAAAGAGGGTGAAAGATGTCCCTCTAGTAAAGAGTGCTTGTATACATGAAAGTAAATCTAATTTCTCAGAGATCGTTTTTTTTCTGAAGTTTTTACTTCATTTTGACTCCTGAACTCTAATGGTCAGTTTCCTACTTTCTTCACTTGTGTGATGAGGTCATCAACATGTTTATCACGTGGAACCTTATATTCTTAATTGTAATCATGTGTTAGTAAGATTATTAAAGATCTTTATTTTTACAGCTAGATATGAGCAACGTCTGAGTCTTGGAACAAGGTTATACATTGCTTTAGGTGCTGCCAGGGGCATCCTCTACCTCCATTCTGAAGCTGATCCTCCAATAATCCATCGTGATATCAAGCCAAATAACATACTGTTGGACTCCAAGTTCACCGCAAAAGTTTCTGATTTTGGAATCTCAAGGCTTGCACCATTACCTGATGCTGAAACGAGTGGAAATGTTTCAACTGTTGTGAAAGGAACTCCTGTAAGGCTTTACTCGTCTTATATGTTGAAGCCTGCAATAGAAAATCGCATTGCAATAAGACCTGCAACTTAAGCAATCTAGGTAGCATGACTACAGACCAGGACTTGATATTCTTCAAAATCAATGATAAAAAATGGCTGAGAATAGGGAGAACTTTTCTATATTCATTCTAACATATGCATGAAATTGTCTCATTAAATGGATCAAATTTCCTATCAAAATAATTAATCAACAGTGTGATACACTCATCTTCTTAAGCACTTCAATAATGGACGGTTGACCTTCTTCCACCCTTTCGTGTGTTCCCCACCTCCATCGATCATTGCAGAATTTAAACATGAGTCTACATCTCACAGTAAAAATTGATGGACAAAACAATTGTCTTAAAAAAAATGTTTTTTCAGTGACATGCTTAAGACACATTTTAAAGGTAGTTACTGTTGAGTCCCACATTGGTCGGTGGGAGGCAAATTTGTCTCCATATAGTGTCTTGGACAATCTTCCACTCATGAGTTAGCTTTTGGGGTTTAGTTAGGCCCAAAATACATTTCTTTATCATGGTATCAGAGCTAAGCCAAGCTCACAAGTCAACACACAAGGCTCTTAGGAATGGTGCCTTGAGTGCTCAATCGGCACAGATGTCTTTATCATTCCCACAGATAGCGGGCAGGGTATAATCGGTCCATACACTGAGCCTCCAACACTCGTTGGGCGCCCAACGCTCACCTTGAAGATGTGCGTCGCCCATAGAGTTTCCTAACTCATATGGATACCATAGACACTCCTTAGAGATGCCTAGGCAGGCCCTTGAGGATCCCCCTCAAGGTTGCTCACTTGGTACGGCTTGATGCCAGCACCCATGGGGGAGGTTGGCTGAGCATGCAACACATCTGCCCCTTTTTTTATGCTTTAAAGAAATAAGTCACACTGGATGATTGTTTTGGTCAGAGAATCATAATGGGTATTTCTTATTGATCCGAACTCCAAAGGACATCGTTTGTTCCTAAAGACTTGTCTTGACATCCTTCACACCTCCATGAAGTTTCACACCTCCATTGACTTTTTATTTTTAGTTAAGAGAATGCCTATATATATATTGCTACTTTGATTTGTTCATTAATGATTTAATTGTTAGTTGACTTTTTATTTTTAGTTAAGAGAATGCCCTTACACTGAACCAAACTTTTGAAAAAATAACACCGACACCGAACCGAGAAACCGAATTAGTTCGGGTAGGTTTTTTGGTTTTCCGGTATTTATGTCCACCCTTACCCACAACTGCACGTCTAGGCCAACAGGTTCTCAAGGCTGAATCCAAGCCAACCTCACAAGTCAACACACGAGGCTCTTAACAGTGGTGCATGGAGTGCTCATTCGGCATGGAGGTCTTTATCATTCCCACAGATAGCCCTCAGGGCATAATCTGTCCATACATGGAGCCTCCAGCACTCATTGGGCATCAACGCTAGCTCTGAGGTTGTGCACCGCCCATAGAGTTTCCTAACGCGTATGGGTACCTTGGACACTCCTTAGAGATGCCTAGGCAGGCCTTTGAGGATCCCCTTTTATCATGGTATCGGAGACAACCCACCCAATGCTTGTTCACCCGATGTTAGCCCCCGCCTTACAGTGTCCATGCTCCAAATGTCCAATCCTGGCTCCAAATTTCCTTACATGGTTTTCGGAAATCCTCCCCTCATGTGATACTTTTTGGGGTTGAGTTAAGCCCAAGATACATTTCTTTAGCAGTTACATACATGTATATGATGGTCTGTCCTGTATGGTAACAATCTAAAATCATGTTTCTCAAAATCTGGCGATTAAATCTTAGTGTTTCCAAAAGCAAATATATGCCATGGTTAAGACTTCTTGTTTACGGTCAATAGTAAATTTGAATATTCACTCCAGCTGAATGCTTTATGGAATGAAACACATATGGGTTTGACAGGGAAAATATTGAAACTGTGGAAATGACTTGCAAACTCAGAATATCATGCCTCACTGATTTTAGAGTCAAACATCAGTCACTGTTATTTGTGATTAACAATGAGTAAATTATGATTTTCAGATATCTACCAGTTTATTCCTAACTGATCAAAGTTTGATTCAATCATCAAGTTACACTAATGAATCTAATATAAAGGAAAAAGTATAATCTGGGGGTGATCTTGTTCAAAATCTCTCTATCTATGTATCTCTCTCTCACACACACAGACTTGCTTGATTGTTTTTGTCTTCTTGCCTTTCCTCTTGAGAATTCATTCTCTGAAGTTTGATCATGAATACACATACTATGATCCCCTAGTATTTCATTGCTTTTTACCTTCTCAATTATTTTTCTCTTTGCTTCTCCAAAGATAGCTGACAGTTGCCAAAATTTGACACTTGTGTAGGGCTACCTTGATCCTGAGTACTTCTTTACTCACAAGTTGACAGAGAAAAGTGATGTTTACAGCCTTGGTATTGTATTTCTGGAGCTTTTAACAGGGATGCGACCTATTTCTCATGGAAGGAACATCGTCCGGGAGGTACTTGCTTGTTTTTTCCCCTAAGTTATCTAAGTGTTGCACTTTGTTCATGAAGACAGAAATCTTCAAGGGAACATTAGATAGTTCTTCTAGATATATTCAGTGTCTGCTAATGGATCTGAACTAAAGCAGTAGAGGGCATTTGGCATTTGCTTTCACAAGTTTCAGTTCTTTTATCGCTTTAATAAGAACCTCAAATTCCAATGTGATCTATTTTATGAAATTGAGATACAGCATACGAATCAATATAGTTGCTGGGTCCTTAAAACTTTTTTTTTGAAACTGGTAACATTTGAATTGATATTAGTACTTAGGTAGTACCGGAAGAACCATATTTACAACAGAGTAAGTTAAAAAGAAACTGATCCCGACTCTAGATGGACCCTAAAACATCTAAAATTGACTCAATCTCATTAGAGTAAACATTTGTACACCAAAAGAAGAACAACAAAATACATTAAGTATAATCTCCTGGTCATTGTTGCTCCTGTTTTAAAAACATCTGTCATTCCTCTCTCTCCATATAATACACCAAATGCAGGCAGGAATAATCATCCATTTGTCTCTGTTTCTAGCTCCAAATCCTGTTTCCTCCCAACTGATAAGAGTATCATCAATCTTACTAGGCATTATCCATGAGATGCCTCTGAGATTAAGGAAAATCTGCCACAGTTGGTCAGTGACTTCGCAGTGTAGGAAAAGATGTCTAACATCCTTTCCACATAAAGGGCATTTGTTAAACAGTGGAATTCCCCTCTTTGCCACATTGTCAAGAGTCAAAGTAACCTCATTAGCTAAAAGCCAAGTGAAACATGCCACTTTGTGTGACACTTTGCCTTTCCAAATGTGCTTCACTTAATAATCTGAACTCTAGTTTAGTTTGTCAGCTTGTGTCCCTCTTTCACCTTATATATTCCTTTGCTATGCTCATTCCACCATAAGCAGTCCTCTCCTCTTTGTAGTCCTTGAAAGTTCTCCAGAAACTTGTACAAATCAGTCACTCTTGGAATTTCCCAATCGTTTAAATGTCTTCCGAGGACAAATCCCTGCCATGTCATGTCCACATTTTAGCAACTGTCTAGTGTTGATGTTGACCCAAAGCAAAGATGTCAGGAAATAAGCTTTGTAAACTATCAGGACCCATCCATTTGTCTAACCAAGAAAGTGTCTTGTTGCCATTATATACCTTGATAGTAGATTGACTTTTAAGGAATGGCCAGAAGAGCCTGATAGATCTCAAAAGACTAACACCATAAGGGATAGTGACTTCTTTAGTTACCCAATTGTCCAGCTCCCCATACTTTTTCTTGATGACATTACACCATAAAGCTTGAGTCTCCTGTGGGTATCTCGATAGCCATTTCACCTTAACAACTTTGCTCTGGTCCTTAAGGTTCTTGATGCCTGATCTACCTTGCCTTTTGCTTCGGATAATATTCTTTCATTTGACCTAGTGGTAACCTTTTTTCTCCTTGTTGCCTGGCCACAGAAAATTTCTCCTGATTTTATCCAACCTTTGAACCACTGTATGAGGTAACTGAAATAGTGACAACATGTAAGTCTGTTGAGCATCTAGGATAAAGTTTATCAAAGTTAGTCTACCTCCCAGTGACAAATAATGTGATCTCCATCTGGACAATCTCTTCTCACACTTCTCCAAAATTGGGTTCCAGATATCTATGGATCTTGGCTTTGCTCCCAAAGACATGCCAAGATATATTGATGGCAATGCGCCTACCACTCCTCCCAGAATTTGTGATAGATGCTCCACTAGGTATTGGGGACCAAATTAATTGGAAAAAGGTTAGTAATGAAGTAGAGAAAGCTGTTATAGCCCAGCCCTTATTTCTTCCTGTAGAATGGTCAGGGATGAGTTCCCAAAGTTGGATGCGTTGACATAAAATGTTGTGACAGCTAGAAATTGAGATCAGCATTAATAACATGGCCATTGTCTTAGTAGTATCCAGTAAGTGTTTGACCTAAATGAAAATGTGAAGTCCTCAATGTTTAAGCTGATCCACAACTAGTACTAGCTCTCCAGCCTAGAAGACGAGAAATGGCAGAAAATCAGAGTTCGACATCAACACCTATGTGAATCAGACATTTTGAATAAAAGCTCAAACTATTTGAAAGTTCGAGGAAAAACTACAGTCAAAGAAAAAACTGTTGAACTCTCCAAATAGTTAAAGTGTCATTCTTTTTGGGAACGGAGGGAGTAAGAAAAGTTACTTTTGTACTAATGACAGGTGAATGCAGCATGCCAATCAGGGATGATGTCTTCTATAATAGACAAGAGTATAGGTCCATATTCCTCAGATTGTGTCAAGAAATTCCTGGATTTGGCCGTGAAGTGTTCACTGGATGAACAACAGGACAGACCGTTTATGCTGGAGGTGGTGAGAGAGTTAGAGAACATAACTTGCATGCTTCCAGCAATTGACAATAATAATATTGCACCTGATTTAGATGTTTCCACATCACCAACTTCAGTTTATTCCAGACACACTACAACCTACACGACCATGGAAGGAATTGAGCTTGTGAGCGGTGTCATTCCCTCCATCAGGCCTCGTTGATGTTTTTAAGGACTTGCTATATACCCTTCCTTTACCAACATGTTAATGGTCAAAATTCTGAAGTATTAGAAGTTCAGTATTAGTAAGTCTGAGGTATGTAAATATATATATGCAGTTTGAATCAATACTGAGAGGATAAAAAGACTTGCTTGTATATATTGGTTATAAAAAAAAAAGACTTGTATATATGTTGTTGTTCCATTCAGAAGAGAAGTGATTTTATCATTTCATGTAAGAGTTTTTTTAAATGAATACAGAAAACAGTTTGTTTGTAGTAATCAATTACTGAAAATATTACCAAAAGAATGTGTTCTAAAATCTCATGTTATTGAACTGTTTTATTCATCATTTTTATTTTTATTTTGTTTTAGAAATACGATAGATTTAACGTCTAATTATTTATTACACAACAATAACATACCCGGTTTAATTATTTATTACACATAATATGAAAATGATAAGGTCCTACTATATTCTTTTAGGGAGAACTCATATAAGTACTACTCATACACATACATTGCAATAGAATGACCAATTTTAACTTTGCAAATCTGTAGCCCAAAAACATTAGGCCTGGGTTCGGAAAAGAGGATTTTCTGTTGTTCTTTTTCAAATATTCAAGTGCAAAGTTGGATGATTTTCCATTTTTCTCCTTCATGTTCGTATACATTCTTATTCTAGCTATAAAAAAAAAATTTAGCAAATCCATAAATAATACAATTTGAAAATCTTTTTTTTCTTAAATCTTGTCCAAGTTCCAAATGGAACAAAATCAAAGAGAAAAATTAAAAAAAAAATTGTTGCAACTTCGTGATTTGGAGAGAGATTAACAAGGAAAGTCGATTAATACATAGATTGTACGAGAAAAAGTAAGAAAACATACCAAAGATGGTTTTTAACATCATATGTAGAATACATGTATAATGTATAAATTTGTATAAATAATACAATACAGAAAAAATATATATTGCATAAATACACAATTATACCGTATTATAACTTTGTATAATTATATATGGAAACTAGATTTCATCTTCAACTTTGTTTTTCAACTAGTATGATTTTCAAGATCAACTTTTGTCAAACATTCAAACTCCATCGACATAGCATATTCTAGAGTCAAGTTACTGCAAGTTTTTTCAATAATTAAAATTTCATCAAATAGTTTTAGAGTAATATTTTCCACATCTCATTCTTGTAGTTAGTTATGAAATCCTTATCATTTTTCTCCATCATTTGTTCTCATTGAACTTTTGTTTAAATTTCTCATCGACTCATTTAGAACTGATTCTGTCATATTTGGAAATAGCACTTCTATTTCTCCTTTTGTGGTGCCATTAAAGCTTGCACCAAACTCTAACCACTTCATACTCCTGCTTTCAAGTTCAATCATCATCTTGAAGAATATGGTATTATAGTCATGAAGACATTGAACTTTATCATAGACTCCAATCTTCACACTTCCTTTTAGAGAGAATTTTCTGAAAATTAGAGGTCTAATTGTGTCGATTTGGGGTCGACTTTTCAGGAATCAACCAACAATTGCTCCTTTACGCTGACTTGCTTGTACTAAAAAAAAATTACACAAGCATACCAAATTATTGCAGAGGGGAAAACATGTTGAAAATGACTAAGGCAGCAGAAAGATTATATCAACATCCCAAATTTTGAAATATTGTCATAGCAAACATTGAATATGTGGTGAGCTACATAAATCTGAACAAATGAACAAGCTTGAAATAAAATGAATACAATTGTTAACCTATCTACCAAGTTGTGAATATTACAGCGGTTTGACAATGTGGTTGATTCCTATTCAAGCTTCTTAAAAGAATACTGTCAACATCTGGGCACTCGTGCTCATTTAAAAATTCAGCAACAAATGTCATCTGAAATGTCTAGGTATATAACCGTAGCACTGCAAGACCAACAGCCGATATAGAGACAAGAGTACCTATACAGTATTTAATCACTTCGTACTTTGCAGCTTCAATTTGCGCCCTCAATGCATGAATTTCCTGTACATGGATCAAGCAAGAGAAAAAGAAGATATTCACAAGATGCATTGAGTTTAAAGAACGTTCATGCTCAAAATATACAAGATCCCACACTTACCCGATCAAGCTTATTTGTAAGATTTGTAGTTTCTGCATTTTGATTGGCAAGCTCATCACGGATGCGTCTACACAATTTAGAATGACCACAATCAATCATCACGGAGTCGAAAAATGAACAACCTAATCATTCACTAACATCTAAAACTCTTCAGGCCTTACCCTCTTTCAAGATTTAAATCCAACCGTTGACCGGCAGTAAGCTTGTCAACCTCATACCTGCATGAACAAATAATATTGGTTAATGAAACTGGCACTCAAAAGTAGAATCATTTTTCCAACAATTCAATTGTACCTTAGTTCACTGCGCATTTTTTCAATGTCATTCCGAAGCTTTTCAAGTTCACGTTGCAGCAGAGAAAAATGATGTTCCTGCAACAAATTTTTTTTAATCGGTATGAATTCCATACGTCAAACTCAAACCAATGCTCATTCGGGGGTAGAACAAAAACATATATCATGAACATATATATTATTAGCACAACCATGATGCAATAATCATCGGTCCAACACTGAGTTTGAAGTAAATTTTCCTCCTTGATCACCCAATGTTAAGAGAATTTTGGGAACGGTTAGATCCATGCAAGAACAAATTCAAATTGACACGTGTTCTCCTATCTGTCTCACACTGTGTTGAACACAATATTGTCATACAGGCAAGGTTGAAATTTCTCCCAAGCCATCATAGCCATATATGCCATCAGTAACACTCGTCTCACATTGTCTATCAGAAGGAAAATTAGTCTTGTGTTGATGATTTCCAACATCCTGGATTAGTCAAAGTAAATAAGCTGGTTACTCCTAAAAGATGCTTCCCGGTAAGCGAAACAAAAAAAACTGCTGTGATATCTTTGAAAAAGTTGTCTCAAATCAGGCAATCAATTTGACTCAATGACCACAAATCAAAATTCTAAATACTTATGTCATCCTTTCCCGGGGTGGCCAACTAGCCTTTTAGGCTGTAACCCTTTTGATCCCTCAAAACATTGAGGCTGCAACTCCTTCCTAAAGTATTTGCAGCTATCAGAGGCTGAGCCAAAGCTCCCTTCACAACCAACTAGTTTTAATTTTCATACTTGGTTGATATAGTAAAAAAAAATTATGACCGTGGTGTCCGGGCTTAGCTTTCGCACACCTCGACTAATTCCTCGGAATACTTGTCACTCCCACTAGCAAAAGGTACCAGGTAACTGTCCACCAAGGCTACAACAGATGAGAAGAATCACCTAGTGTTTTTTTCTCCGCTGGGATTTGAACCTGAGACCTCATGGCTCTCAACCACTTCATTGACCACTAGGCCACACCCTTGGGTACGGTTGATATAGTACTAATTACTAGAAAGATCCAGCTGACCTAACTTGTTCATTTGATTCGACAATTTTACTTCATCTATTTTTTTTAGTCATTGCTTCTTTATACGACCAGGTTAGGATCATATCATGTCTTAAAGTAAAGAATAACCATTGTTGATCTGTATTACAGGTCATCTTTTTTTTTGTTGAACATATGAGAGATATGATTAGATTAAATCTGATCAGCCAAGGTAATGAGGTACTCCAAAATCCAAGTGATAACTAAGCCTCCTCCCTGAGCAATGGTACTTCTTACAAATTAATCATCTTCCAGATGCTGTTACAAGTGTCAAAGGCAGTCAGCTTTGATGAATGAAACTCAAAATTTTCAACTACCTTCTCATCTCTCTCCACACTATGGCCCTAATATTTTTGATTGATCATCCTAGTCCAGGATGATACTTGTAACAGGGGCATACAATGATAGCTTCATCTCCGCTCAAAGCCGATCTTGCTCAAATTTCTTGAGCAATTGCCTTTGCTCCTCAATAGAGGCTCTTTGACGATGTAAATTTGATCTCAACAGTTATAACATTAAGTTCTTCTCTCTAGATCTCCTGATCGAACTCTTTCTGCAACTTATCTTTTCAGCATCTGTAGCAGCTTCAGGTTGTGCTTCTGTTGTTCTCTGCTATAACTCTGAAGGGCGCGGTACTCAGAGTGGCACTGTGATTGAATTAGATTGCTCTATATACACTGTTTCAAGAAGCTGACATCTTTATCATCTTCCAAGAACTGAACAATATCGTTACTGAAGGAGATCAGCTTCTCCACATCCATGTTACTGGACCCATCCACCATTGTATGTTGAGAGAAATGAGTCTGTATTACAGTTCTACTTAAACGGCAGTATAGCCAAATAAAAGGCTCTTCATCTGCAATATGGTATCACTGATTTGGTGTCTCCATTTCCAAGTATCCATCATTGTATCTTGAATGAACGAGAATAACCTCCTCCATTGAATGAAGGAATGATCTCTGATGATAGAGTTTATGTTCTTTTTAAGTAAACAGTGGCAAAATTGTAGAATGTTATGGAGTGTTACACGCTAAATCTTCTTCCGTAAATCATCAAAACACAGACTTGAAAGAATCTATATTTAATTACAGTCTTACTCCTTATGGGAGTTTACTGCTAGCACAACCTTATTCCTGACAGGAATTTGGTGCATACTGTAATGAATAATTGTTATCCAACACAAGGTGATGATGGCTCAATTCAATTGCCTTTTGAAATTGTAATATTTCAGCATATATATGTAAAATTAGGAAGAAACCCTCATTCACTCTAACCAGAAGGGCATTTGAAAATATTCAAGCAAGTAATTGTACTATTTCACCAAGCTTTAACAATTTCAGCATCAGCTGATTTGAATTATTATGGCCAAATAACGGAGACCAAGAAACGCACAGGTCAGCATGTGAGTTAACGGAAAATGTTCTTGTTATTTGGATCATTGGGTCAATGAGCTGCCTTATTTAGGTGGGCAAATGAAAGTAAAAAATTATCATGAACCATAATTTCTGCAAGAAATGATAAGAGAACCATAATCCAGCCAAGCCGCAACTATACTAGTAATACTTAATCCATAAATCAAAGGTACAGCAATTGAGATTGGTCTGTCTGTCAAACCAACCATCGAACCTCCCCCACCCACCCAACCCCCCAAAGGAAAGAAAACCCACAAAGAAGCAAGGAAGAGATGTACAGGACTAGAGTAAAACCAATTAGGTGAATTTACTTTAGAACCCAAGGCAGATCAAACTCAATACCATAACATAGAATCTCCCCTTACATCCTGATGTGGGAGGTAGAAGAATTAACCACTATACTTGTCATATGCAGTGTTGTCAAAGGCATGCTAAAGCCCTGAAGCGAGGCAAAAAACATGTTGAGCACTTCACCTCACTTTATGGGTGCTTCAGTGTTGTTATCAAGGCTCCAAGACATACTTTTCCATGCCAATGAGTGCAACCCTTAACATGTGACACTAAAACAATTGATATTTCACTTAATCATAATTTTTTAAAATTTCTTTGTTCATATATTTGTTACTCATGCTTATGATTATTAATCTTGGACTACACATACATATTTGTGGGTTTTCTCCATTTGCGCATTTTTTTCATTAAAGTTCACACTTTATTTGCGTTTAAAACCCCAAAGGACCTTAGAGCTTTTTTGCACTTTTCGCTTTTGATAACACTGGTCATATGATGACAATTGAATTATAGAAATACATAGCTTAGCCTCTTCGCCTCTATGCCACGTTTTTTGCACCATGTGCTGACCTCAATTTCGTATTCTGTCTCTTTTCTTTTCTTTTTAGATGAAGTAATTGATTCCATTCATGGAATCTAGAAGATGCAAGGTAGTTTTCTTTTCTGTTTTTTGCTAATTAATTGTCATGAATCTGGAAAATCCAATCAATCTCTCGGATGCTGCTTTCAACAACAGTTTCATATTCTTTCACAACTCACAACAAACTAAAGCTTTTCCCACTGAAGCTATCTACCTCACAGTTAACATCATTGAAGAAAAATATCACTGGTATGCATTATCACGCCTCCATCTACAAACTCATTAATAAAAGTCAAAGCACCAGAGAATGGCTAGGCAATAAAGGTCTTAACAACAGCTTGAATATGCTTTTTTTTCATTATGTAGAAAAAATAACTGGGAACAACAGCTTGTATATGTTCCGGGACTACATACAACAGCGTACAAAGCTAGCTTACTCGTCTATCTAGGCAGAGAAAATCATCTATAGCAGATGTGACTAAGGGCAAGCTAATATTCTACAAGCAGAAGAAATACATTACACCTCCCCTAGCACAAGACAGAGAATAACTAGACGCACAGCTGAAGACTTTTTAGAATACCGATATGCACAACTAACAGAGCTTCATGACAATTTTGTACCTGAGAACTTTGTACTTCAGACTTGAACTTGGAGAGGTTGGCTTCTTGAATCATCTCAGACTACATAGGCAAAAATGCACAAAACAATTATTCAGCAAAGTGGAAATGGGCACATTGTTTACAACATAAGATCTTGAGTAAAGTCTTACTTTCTGCATTTCAGCTCGTGAAACAAAAGAATGAGCTACATTTTCCAAACTGTCATTCAAAACTTCAGTGATAGCAGATGTTATTGCTTCTGCCTGTTCTGATGGTACACCTCGTGCTTCTAATCTCCTAACCTGTCAGCAAACAAGATCTATAAATATCTATAATTCATATCAATAATAACAAATCAGGAGAGACTCTAGCCTTGAAAAGTATCCTAATTTATGACGAAATGGATAGAAGCAAATACAAAAACTCAAAAAGAACCACAAGTTTAGTGGCTTTACTATTTGTTTTTTTGCTTTATTTTGAAGGTATTAGTTTATGGTCTGATAAAGTACTACTTTAATTATGATCAAAAGGAACAACATCAAACAGATCAAGATCCAAATTCAAGTCATCTTTGGCAGAAAGATGAAGCATTCCTCTTTTGGAAAGAAAAGGCTGAAACTTAGTCAATTGAAAATGAGTTAATATTTAGAACAAGTCACCCTGAAAATCCCCCAATCCCACTTATAAAAAAGGCCACAGTCCTAAGTCTATCATACCAAGACTTAATTGCTTTATTAGGTTTGGCGAGCATCACATACCCTTCGATCTGCAATATTTCAGTAGGCCCTAGGTACCAATGTTATGTTGAGTCCGACATGGAAGTAAGTTATGAGTTTATATAATTAAACAAAAACAAAATCGGTTTTTGAAATGAAAACAACTTCTTTTCATTGGTTTTAGGTTATTTCCCCAAGACCAAAGCAGTTTGGTTTCACCTTTATTTTTTAAGCCAAAGACAACTAACTAGAGACCAAAAATAAAACTCATCCACTTGCATTCCTACTAAACTTAAAAAGATAAGAGAAACAAAGCTTTTCTCCATCTCCTTTCTGATTCCACAGATACCAACACAACAGATTATCAATATAAATACTCAACATGCTTCATCCATAATTGGTTGGGATCATTTCATTCCACTACAAAAACAATGATAATGAAGAAACACTAATAATTACCAGAGCTCATAAATATAATTAAATACACAACTGTGTTCATTTCTAAATTAGTTGGGAACATTTCACTCCAATACAACAAATTATAAATCAACAAAGAGGAGGATAAAGAAATAGTAATAATTACCAGAGCTAATGTATCAACGAGAAACGCACGCTTGCCATTAGGTTTAGCAAGCTGTGAGATTTGCCTATAATCAAACTTGTTAGCAGCAGACGATTTATAGGGCTCAGAACTGTAAAAATTAACTGAACCAGCGTTGATTTGTGATCTATCAATCAACAAAGCAGCAGAAACTTTAGATGCGTTAATCCCTTGAGATTTAGACAATCTAATCCCACAATTAGCCCCTAATTGAACCACACGTCTCGCAACAGCCATTAATTTCTCAAAATCTACAAGAAGAAGAAAAACCTTTTTGATTTTTTCAACAAAAAACTAGACTAAGCTGCATCGATTTCAACGAAGATTTTGAACAAAGTATGAAAGGTCAAACTTTCAGAAATGGCGGCAAGTAGAAAGATTGAAGGAGACAGAAGAGGGGTAGTTGATTGTTAATGGCGGACGATGGGGATTTTCCCTTTTTACGGTTTTTATTTATATCTCGTTCGGGTTGCTTGCCGAAGGGGAATTATATTGTATACCTTATTGGTAGAGTAATTTGGTATTGGTCTTTAGTCTTTACGCACGAGATGAGAGGATATGCTATTTAGGTTTCCAATGGGAAATGACAACTTGGTTTCCTTTTCTTTCATTTGTTTTTTAATTTGGTTTCTCTCTTTACACAATAATATTGTGCTTGAATTGACTTTGAGAACTCAATCAAAGCAAAAAAGACAAAAAATATACAAATCATAAAAGCGATTGTTAAAGGCTTATCTAAAGAACAAATTGACTGGCATGTGAAAATCCTCTGAGTCCCTCATCTTGATTGACCTAGGATGTGATTACTATATTGTAAAATTCCACCAAGGTGGAGAATATACATAGGGACTTTCATGAAGGATTGTGGTTTATAATAGGAAATTTCCTTTTTGCAAAGAAATGAGAACCAAATTTCGTCTCTAAAATCTATATGCTAACCCTCATTGCAATTTGGATTCTACCACCAGAACTCCCAACAAAAATTTATGATAAACAAATATTAGAAAAATTGAAAAAGATTTGGGAGCACTCCTAAAAATAAATACTTGCACTTCGGTCACACTAAGAAGTTGTTATGCACTCATTTATATTCAAGTGTCACTTAAGGTGATGGTCAAAACGAAGGTCACAATTAGTTGCCACAAATAAAAGGTATCTATGAATGAGATGAAATCATGTCCCTGGTTATGGGATACTAAGCCATATACATGGCACAAGAAAGGTTAGATTAGTGATCAAAGGATACACACAAGAGTATTGAGACAAATCTCTTTTGTTGGACCGTCTTGCGTTAGGTGAAGAGAAGGGGGAGGTAGGCTTAGTAGGGCTCGAACTTACAATATTACTACTATGAACGGTACGTTTCAACCACGAAAATCTCTCACAAAGAACATAGACTATCAACATTCAATGCGGAAGTACCAATAGACACTTGGCAGGTAGTATATTTTTCCAAGAAAGAATAAAATGCCTAGGCCCCATGGTCACTTGTCAAAGGTGAATAAAATGCACAAAGAACGCACCCAAGCATAGAAAAAAAAACGATCCACAATCAGGTAAGTTCCTTGATACCACCATTCCAAATCGAATAATTGAGGATGGACTGAAAACCACCCCAATGAAACTAGAAATGAGAAAGGAAATACAAAAATGGGCCTAAAAATAAACTCTCAAAGCCCATCAATCAACTAATGGTGCATTAAATGGGAAAATCACTCCCTCCCGCCCCACCCCCCAAAAAGGGACAACTCCCCAATCCAAAAATAATTGGACAAATCCCTTGGAGGATTATACCTACTTCCCTAAATGCAAAAAAACCCAGAGGGTCCAAACCCCAACCAATCACACTCCTCCTACAAAGTCTCTTATGAAAGCAAATGCCACAACTTTTCTTTATCAGAGTAATTTCTACTCTGAAAAAAATAACCATCACACTAAATCAGTTGAAGTGATTATATTAGTCATATCAACTTACTCCCCCCATTACTCTTTTTAGTAATGAAGGGTGTCAACAATCAAACGTTGTGATTAACCCTACTTCAGGCTCCATTATCCTTAACAATGGTGAAAAGTCCCTCCTCTTCCCAACAACAACAAAACGACCCACTTAATTGTATTCACAATGGCACCACTACCTCTAAACCACACACTAACCTCGTAGTTGGAGTTGGCAATGCAAAACAAATGCCATACTCTACAGCTGAACATGTATGTGCAGCTAATGATTATAATCCTCTAAGACCTTGCGTTTTTTAAAAGGGACCATACAATAGAGGGTCAAGACTTAATATTTAGCTAGAAAATCTGCGGCAAACTTAACTAATTCGGAACCTCAACATGATGTTCATAGAAAAGTTCAATGTCCTAATGGAACATACTTTCTAGAGTTTCTCATTCTTCCCCTACTTATCCAACTCTTAGAGCCTATTCTTTGTCTTATGGATACCTCAGAAACACCAAAGCTTAGACCAAACCCAACCACCAAATATAGGGGCTGGAAACCCAAAAAAAAAAACAAAGCTCTCTCCTTGAAACATTGAGAAAAAACAATCTGGAACTGGAACATATTTTGACAATTTTTGGGGAGCAAATCAATGAAGTCTTTTTTAAAAGAGCCTACCAATATAATTATTATAATCTATTGTAACACGTAAATGACCATGTGCACCTTAAATATTAATGAAATCACATATGAGGCAAACATGACAATAGTACTGAGTAGGGGTGTACATGACCGGGTTAGTTCGGGTTTTTCAAAAATCAAACTAAATCATTTGTGTTGGATTTTTAAATTTATACACCAAACCAAACCAATAAAGCTCGAGTTTTTCAACCTCGGGTTTTTCGGGTATAGTATACTAGGAGTTCTCTTGTGTTTGATTTGAATTTCAAACTTATAAGCATTTTAGTTTTCGCTTTGCGTTATATATGTACTTAAACTTAGTACTAGGGTGTACAAAACCGAACCGAAAACCGAACCAAATCGCAAAGTGAGTCAAACCGAGCAAAAAACCCGACTAGTGGTTTGGTTTGACTTGGTTTGGTATTGGAAAAAAAACCCGACTATATTTTGGTTGGTTTGGTTTTAACTAAAAAAACCCAACCCGAGACCAAACCAACCCGACATTATATATGTAATTTTAAAATTTTATTTTATACATAAAAATATTTACTTTGATATAATTTTAAAATATTTCTTATACTATTTCATAGTTTTATCTTTTAATATATTATTTCAAGTTTAAAACTTAGAATTAAGAATGGTCCAATAAAGATTATAGTTCATAGATGTTGATTATTATAATAAAACTTAAATCAAAATCAAATCAATAAATCTATATAAAGTTGAATAAAATCACACTGATGTGGCATGCTTCATTGATCAGTATTACTATTTCTTAAAATTTTGATTGTTTTCTCTCATTTTCTGCTCAATAACCTTTTAAAACAATTATTCACTTTCCTTATTATTAACCTTTACTACATTTAACTCTTCCTTCCAAAAGGAAATATGTAACATCTAAATACATAATGGAGCAATTAATGTGCATTATCACGCATTTTTTCCTATTAAACCATTGCTTCAACCCACGTACTAACTATCAGTTTTTTTGTAATCCTTAATCACCTATAATTAATTAGACAATTCATTCCCCTATTTATTCATACCTTCTTAGACCTTTTCCTTTGGGGTTTCATGTAAGTATTTTTTTCATATCTTCTTATACCTTTTTGGGGGTTTCATGCGGTTTTTTTGTTCTTCTCTTTCATCTTCTTCCTTTTATTTTATCCATCCTTGATAGCATCATTTTAAACAGGATAATTACTATGAAGCTTTTTGATATGAAGAGCAGAAGAGGAAAGCCAAGAGTTGATTGTATCCATTCTTGATTTTATTTTTAACGTATGTATATATTTTACCATCCTTTGAAAAGGATATTACTATGAAGATTTTGATATAAGCCAAGAGTTTTTATTATTATTATTTTATCAATATCAATGTTATTTAATTTTTTAAAAGATTTTATTTTAGTTTTAGGAAGTTAAAGTTCTAATTCTATTCAATATGTCTCTCTCCTTAAATCTAAATTTGTATAGTATAATATTAAAGTTAAGTGTACACAATGTAATAATAAAGTGATGTGACATCTCTCTATGTTTATCAAATTTAATTATGTTTTTTATTTGAATTTTTTAAATATTTACTATTGTAATAAATTGTCAATGAAAAAGTGTAGAGAAAACTGAACATGTACATCAATAAATATACTCCGGCGATGTGACGCTCTCTAAGGCCACAATTCTTTTTACAATAGTAAATATTTTTAAAAATTCAAATAAAGATAACGTGATGTTTAAATTTATAATTGGTAATGTCTCAAAAACAAAAGATGGCTTGTGGTTGGCATGATTTTGATGTTTGATGAGGTTAAGGCTTAATTTGGACATGGTATGAAAATATGGATGATGATTTTATAGCTATGAAAGTAGTTGTGTCGTGTTTTTAAAAAAAAACTCAACACATATATACACATGTGTTTATTCTTTTATTTTATTTATTTGTGTTTTTCTCCCTTATTTGTTTTTAAAGTTTCACCTTCATGACTCATAAGTCATACCTATTAAATTTCCACTTTCAATAATATAATTAACTTCATGATATTTAATTATAAAATTTAAGATACTTTATGATATTTCTTTATTTTGTCTTATATAAATTCACCATTTTTTGTTTCATAAGATATATTCCTACTCAAAGATATTACTTTTATTTTATAGTTCCTTTTATTATTATTATTATTATTATTATCATTATTATTATTATTATCATCATCATCATCATCATCATCATCATCATCATCATCATCATTATTATCATTATCATTATCATTATCATTATTATTATTATTATTATTATTATTATTATTATTATTATCAAAATTTTGTGCATTAAATCTGTATTTTTATTTTCATCATCTTTTTATTATACGATTAAGACCCTAAGAAAGATATGTATTCTCTTCGTGTAATTAACTGTTTTAGTTTGGCTTCTTATGATTTTTTTAATTATCGTAAGTCTGTATTTTTATTTAGATATAATACAACAATGTCAGAAATATATTTACCACTAATGAAGGCTCAAACAATACTATTAATGATTTACAAGAAATATTTATTAATTATTGAAATACATTCTTTTAATTGTATAAAGAATTATTTATATTTTCTTTAAAGATTCGTCCATTTTATCTACCTAAATTCATAATTTATTGTTTCATGAGACCCCTACTCAAGATTATCCTTTTTATTTCATATTTGAAGTTATATTTTTCTTATATTACTATTATATATAAATAATTTTGGTTATTAAACACATTATTAAAGGAAAACTCTTCTAAAGAGAAAAGACTCATAAATAATTCAAAATTATAAAATTCATA